TTGTGTTTCTGGAGAAATAGGATAATGGAGTGAATCCAAATAAATAATCTTGAAAAAACATGAGGCTCAAGTGTACTTTCATAGGGTATTACAAATTTCATGAAAAAAACACGCTACAATTGCTACACCCGGTATTCATAAAAAAGAGGTTCTAATGCCAATACAGTTTGCACAGTTCAGAAAGAAATATCTTTTGGAGCGCACGAAAGGAATCCCTCTTATGTTCGAGTGTATTGTGATGATATTCCCCTTAATGGGACTCTAGAACATCATCAGAAAGGCAGGAGTACCACAATCACCCAGTAACTCGCGTCTCGAACATTCCAGTGATTTTAATATGTACCAGCGTATTTAGGAACACCCAATATGTGTCACGGCGACACATAACCTAACTGAAGAATCTGGAATGATCTCGAAACAATGGATGGAACAATTAGAGAGAGAGGGAGATATTGTTCTAGAAGTTTCTAGAAAAAAGGAAGTATACGGAAGATCATTCGAGAACGTTCGATAAGCAAAGCCTGCAAGGGATCTGATATAACAGTGTGTGACCCACTTTTAATGGAATCACACCCCTGTATATCACATAATCGTTGGATAAGGATCCTGCAATTTGCTGAAGCGAGAGATATACCAAAAATGCACTCTATGACCAAGTGGGGTCATTTCATTGATATTCACTGCTCGCCAACAGCCATGGAACCACCCCAATTTCCGGAAAATGATATTAGTCAAAATAGGTTGAAAATCACTTCGGATTCGGAATCAGGACACCCAATTCACTAACTATTCATAATATCATTTTCTGGAAATTAGGGTGGTTCCATGGCTGTTGGCGAGCAGTGTATATAACTGAAGATAGCCCCACTTGGTCATAGAGTGCATTTTTGGTATATCTCTCGCTCCAGCAAATTTCAGGATCCATATCCCACGATTACGTGAGATACAGGGGTGCTTCCATTAGAAGTGGGTCACACACTGTTATATCAGATCCCTTGCAGGCTTTGCTTGTCGAACGTTCTCGAATGATCTTCCGTATCCTTCCTTTCATTTAGAACGACAATGGTCAGACAAGCAGCGAGTGTCAGAGAGACAGTCATATACCGCGTGATATAAATCATTTTACATTATAATTATAATGAATTAGTGTTCCTTTAGTTGAAATGAGTCGGTTCTGAAATAAATAGTATCGTGTTCGCTTTTGCACACAATTTTCCAGTTTTAAGTGTGACTGTGAAAATGAAGAAACTACACGAGTTGAGACTTGAGAGTGGTGGACTTGAAACACGAGATGGGGGAGAGAGATCTCGACACAACAGAGACCAAGGCTACGCTTCAGCATCGTCTCAATAAAGAGTATATGGTAAGCGTCGGTCAATATCCGGAGACGTTCACCTTCGAGGAACCAGCTTCAGCGGAATCGATGTTGGCTGGGATCTCGGAACAGATGGTAGCACAGCAAAAGAATATCACGAACCAGATAGCGGCTCAGCAAGAGAAGATTGCGGACCAGATGGCGACTCAGCAGGAGAAGATCTCAGCTCAGCAAGATCAGATCGCCTCTCAGATGTCGGCTCAGCGAGAAGAGGTTCTGGCTCGTATTTCTGCGCAGCCAAATCAGATTGTACCCCAGATATTAGCCGAATGAGAAGAAGTATTGACTCAGATATCAACACATCGTAAAGAGATTCTGACTCAGGTCGCTGCTCAGCAAGAACAGATCGCGTCGCAGCAGGCAGGCAGCTAGCTCAGGTTTCAACCCAATTCACCACTCAGATGGAAGAAATGGAGAAGAAGCTCCAGCTCGAAATAGAAAGAAGAGCTGTGCTTGAGAAGTCAGGAAATGGTCAACGACTCATGATTGAAACCACAGTAGGGCCAGATGCAGTGACCAATCGAGTGAAGCCGCCTACATTTGATGGAAACACATCATGGCCAAATTATCTGAAGCAGTTCGAAGCAGCTTCCAAAGCCAATGAGTGGACATCAAAGGACAAAGTGGTAGCTCTTACAGTAGCTCTACGGGGTGATGCACTAAACATCTTGCAAGCCATTCCGAAGGTAGAAGCCGATAGCTACGATCATTTCGTCAAACGCCTCGAAATGCGGTATGGTCACGATAACATCTTCAGCAAGTGCATCAATCACAAATGAAGATCCCTCGACAGAGAGCCAACGAGAGCCTGCAAGAATTCTAAGTGGACATTGCCCGATTGGTTCATTGAGCTTATCCATCAGCTCCCGAGTCTCTCATGGAATGCTTGGCTATTCAAACACTCGTAGGTGGACTACGAGGTATTGAAATGCAGAAAGCAGTTCGCCTCACTCGACCAAAAGACCTCACCAGTGCTCTCACAGCTGCCCTTAAGATCGAGGCCGCAGCAGAAGCTTCCCGAGCATCCGCGAAGGTACGAGCCATGAGTGGCAGCGAGAGCCACAGGCAAGATTCAGATGAAGCCTTAAATAACGCCATCAAGAGCCTCTTGGATAAGAAGAGTAGGCCAGTTCGCTATTGGAATCGTGGGGAGTTGGGCCACCTCCAGAGAACTTGTAAACGTGCCAAGCAGGCTGCTGATGAAGGACCATCTTCCAGGCAGCCACAGGAAAACTAGAGCGGGTTGACCTCGAGGAGGCAGCTTTGACCCGTGATTCTTAAGACCCCCTCATTTTAGTGGCATCCCTACTGCGTGGTAACAGCAGCGTCTACGTAGATGGACAGATCGACGGAAAGAAATGCGCATTGTTGGTGGATACTGCATCGAAAACAATCCTGCGACGTGGACTTCTGACGTCTTCAAGAAAGCAAATTGTGAACTCGAAATGGCGTCTGAGAACTGCTACGGGTGAAGATGCCACCGTTTATGGGGAAATCGATGTGGATATATCGATCGGGACCGTTAAATTTTCACATCGAGTTATCATTGCAGATATCGAAGATGTTATTCTGGGAATGGACATCATGGGTGCGCAAGGGATTCAACTGGACTTCAAAAGCAGAACACTCAAGGTGGGTGACGAAGAGATCTTCTCACATCCACGAGAGGAGGTAGCGGCAGGGGTAACATTAGAAGAAGACGTACTGTTACCGAAAGGGGGCGAGACCATTGTAGCAGCTCGGATTAAGGGTATATTGGAGCAAGGCAGTTCCATGATTATGGAACCCTAGAACCATGAAGAGGAGGTCGGACGAGGAATCTTAGTCGGCAAAGCATCACTGTCAGCAGAAGAACATGTACCTGTTCGATTTTTCAACATAAATAATTACCCTGGTGCGATAGGCAAAGAAACGAGGATTGGAACCTGTGTCCCGGCAGCCTCCATAATCCATCCGATGACAGCAACCACTGAAGAGGCCGGCAAGTATAAAGAACTCGTCTCTGCTGCAAGCGACTCACTCACTCCGGGTTCCCTAGTGCTAGGATAAAGCGGGCTGTGCTGTTGGACTAGTGAGATATCTACCATTTGGATGAGTGTAGGCTCTGAGGTGTAACTATGAGAGCAGACCACAGAACTCAAGGTCTTTGAGTTCTGTGGAGCAGACGACGAGCCCGTGCGAAGGCCCTGACATGGGGCTTCTCCGGGCTTCTGGAATGTGCCAGGGAGGGAAACACAGGGGAGCCTCATGAATGGAGGGACATCGCTGCCCCCCTCATGACCAATAAATTGATTAAAGATGTGGGATGAAACCACAGGGTTAACACAATGGATTTACCAAAGCGGTCTAAGTGAATCGAGGGTTTCAGAGAGCTCGCTTTCTGATTCCAAAATAAAAAAAAATCCACCATAGTACAGAGCGATTGCATGCACTCGTCCGATAACTTAATGAGGAATCAACTCGCCTAACTCATCAGCAAAGGCATGTCAAATGCTTTATACAATCGAATCAAAGTGACCTAGGGTAAAGAAGGGAAACTATTTCATCCAAAGTCATGGCCATTAAAAAACATAAATATATTTCATCTGTAAAAATACTATATACAAGTTGAATATTTTAAAAATATTTACAATAATTGTTTCATGAAAGATATATATATACATTCGTAATATCAATAATACCTACCAAATTTTATAAAATGTTTTCTGTGATACTTACCTGTGATACATAACTTTATTGATTCTGTCGAAAAAATACTCAAGGTTTCGAAAGTCTCGGTTAATATTTATATCGATCATGAATATCTTATATTTCAAATAATTTCCGCTCTATTGTAATACTTCAGTACATATCATTGTTTTTTTTAACTTCATATAAATACAATATGTCTCACTAAGTTGGAACCATATGGAAAATATTCTATTTTTTATTATAGGAAAAACGTTATTCGTCAAAAAACGTTCTGAATGTTCTGAAATCTAAAATACAATCATCAGATATCAAATCTGATGAACAATTATTCATTAGGAATAACCTCCTTCAAATGAATAATTAAAAAGTTGTTTTCCATGTGGTTCAAATCGTAGTGAGATATACTGTATAATATGTAAGTATTGAGTAAAATATTGCTGAATTTGAAATAATTTGGTAAATTGGTAGGTAGGCACCTTTTTTCAATAGAGCAATAACAAAAATAGTGGAAAAACAGTTCTCCTATAATCTGATTTGTAATGAAACATCATCTGAAACAACTGACGACTGCGATCTGATCAGTTCTACTGTGTTGTACAAAGAGCTTATAAAAAATAATGGATGAGTATTGGGTATTTCGAATTTTCATATAAAATGCGATAAAAATGCGCTACACGCAAAAAGCTAGAATTAAAGGGGGATTTCACTGAATTTGTTTGGTTTTACATAATAGAGCTTATAACGAACAAATGTATAAAATTCAACATTTGTAGAAACTTTTGGTCAGCAATGAGATCACTAAACGTCAGGATGAATTGTTCGAATGCATTTTATCACAAATTCCAACTCCAACTATGAAATCATAAAATTATGGAACATTAGTTATATCATTTCTTCGTCCTCTCTTCCCCACTACACTGAGCAATGATGATAACTAAGAGCATCCCTTGAATTTTGACATATAAAATTCGCAGTCTCGACAATATCTCATAGGAGCCAAAACATATTTTTTCCTACATAAATTACATTCTATATTTGCACTTATATTCGTTTTTTTGATAGGAACAACAATACCTCGAGGCGTAGTTGCTTCGATACCAATCAAAGGTTTTGACTCGAAGCCGGCTATTTTTTCACGCAATTGATTTGAAGATTCATACGTTGGATGCACAGTTCCTTGGTTGAAAGAACCTTGTGGTTCAAGGTGGAGGGAAGGCACTCTTCGTTCTATGGCAGGAACCATGCCAGATTGAATATGTTGTCGTTCCATTTCATTTGGAAGGAGCCTCTGTGGATTGAAGAAACGGCCAGCGTTCGTTCCAGTGTCCACAGGAACTCTCTCGTACTGATTCCGCATATACCTCGTATTCAAATATTCCATTTCTGATGGATGTCCTGTACTTGGAACAGAACCTTGGTGAAAGTTACCCTGCTGAAAACGATCAGGATAAGGCAAGTGTGCCGGGAAAGGTTGCTTGACTTGGTAACCATAGATCGCGTGAACATTCAACTGATTATTGCTGGAGTTAGCTGATTCAAATTGGGTATTTGTTCTGTCATGACTCATCGAGACATGCGTTGGTACTGCTGGATGCAATAACGGTCCTCTGTTCGATTTAATTGAACATGGCTCATTTTGGTACGTGAGAGAGGGCCTTTGAGCTGACCCATTCAATCCATCATTCAGAAATGGACTACTGCGAATGGAATGTTGAACGCTTTTTACAGCTGCGTTATCAGCATCGATGGCATTTACAAATCCGTTACTGGATTGATTGAGATATTTTTGGCAATAGGAATATTCCTTATTTTCTGCCTCTGCTAAGTTCCTGGCAGAAGATGCATGCGGTGTATGAGGAGTGTTAGATTGTAGTTCCTTCACAACATTCGCCATGTCTTGTCTCATAACATCCGTATCATTATTAGTCAGCGCAGTACGGAGCACTCTCTCTAATATAGGATTCGGAATGACATCGTGATCGTCTTCCTCGTCGGCCGTTGCTACGAGTATGACTTGGTCACAGAAAGATACACTCTTCTTTTTCGTGAGCATTCTTCCATCGTCTGTGGCTCCTTGTACCCTAGAGGTATTCGGTATCTGTCTTCTAAATTCATTATATTTTTGCGCCAAATCTGGGTATACTGGCAAATTCATTCTTCTGCCTATACCCCCACTATCTACTTGATCATATGATTCTTGCCTGATGCGGTCAGAAGAGCTTTCGAATTTATGCGAAGGTACATTTTGTATCTTATCGAACAGAAAGTTCTTCCTGTTGTTTGGGTCCGTCGTTACATGTGAAGAGCCATTGTGATTTTTTTCATGGCCTACTATGGCTTGATTCTGTAGCGACTGTTTTCGGTAATAATTATCAGCATAACTGATTGGTTCGGTACTTTGCGTAACGTTATATTGTGGAACTATTTCACGAGATTTCATTTGTGGAAATGGTAGATGTTCTTCCAAACTAGATAAATCCAATGGGGGTGGTGGTGGCGGAAAGTCTTCACTACCTTGCCTGGAATGTACCACGGATCCCATAGGACTTGGATAAGGAGGCAGTTCGAGATGTGGTAGAGATTCTCTTGGAGGAAATCCGTCCACCACATCGGTACCAGTATCGATTTGGGAATGCGGTTGTTTTTGTTCGCTATGAACCATAGCTCTTGTCACAAGTGTATTAATTTTATCATCATAGAAACTCTCATCACTGAAAGAATCATTGTTGCTGTAGATTGGTTTCGGCAAGCATTGGACATTCTGAGCATAGCCGACATCATTCCGCGGAGCCGCAACTTTCGGTTCAGAAGGATTTGCACTGAGATGGGAAGTAGTTCTTAGGGGTGGTGGAGGGGGTACTTTCACAGGAGTAAGTATTTTAGGAATACTAGAATGGAAGTTCTTGCGCATCAATTTACTTCGCTCCAGGTTTGGATTGGGATTGTTTTCAGACGACTCCAAGTGTCCCTCTGACAGATATCCAGAAGCAATTGTTGGAGAATGGAATGAATCTGGAATTGAAAGAAAACTTTATTATAAAATTTAGAAATACAAAAAACTAATTTTAAGCAGTGTAGCAGTACGTACTAATACTGCAGCTGATATCTACTGATTCCTAATGGCATAATATGTAGAGTCTGACTGAATTGTAATTACTTTCAATTGGGGAGAGTTGGGTGAAGTTGATAAATTCTCAATCATCTAACCGAAATATACGCCTAACACCACAAAAATATTTAGATATAAATTTCGGCAACTGAGTTGCCATCCTTATTATAGGGCTGAAATGAAAATTTCACGGTTCAGTGAGCGAGATTTTTTGCTTTGACGAATATTCTGTCAAACATTTCGGAAGAAGGGATGCCACCTGAATCTCTATTGCGATTAATGTGATTCCTTTCCAATTTTCTATTGTTTAAGGAGCTTGAACTATCTGAAGTGTTAGGGTGAATAGTCTCAAGAATATGTTTCAGAATAGACAAAATGGTATTTAAGTAATTATACATAGAAGTACCTTATGCCTGGATGGAACATGGAACACTAATAAGAGAGATAGAGGGTTAAGGTAACATTTTGAAACTTTTTTTTCTGCAATAACTTCGACGTTTTTGGTCCAGAATACATGAACATTCCGAAACTAAGTGTCCTTGATATTTAATATAATCTTTCATTTAGCATCTTTGATATTTCAAGTACTACTAATTATTTAAGTGGGTATTAAGAGGTGAAATTATTATTTGTTTTTTCACTTCTCTATATTAGAGACTGAAGTGAGCTATTTCATCCCTACAGACTAGGTACTTATTCCATAGCAAACTGACAAAATAGCCAACTGGTACTTTACTTACCTTTACTAATGCAGTTTTCATCCTTTGTTGTACTTGGAGGTTGGCAATCCACTGCATCGGTTAAATCAGGCATACTTCTATTTTTTCGTTTCATGAAACCACCCATCAGAAGTTTTCTTTTGATTTTATGTTGCTTTTTGGACTTTTCTTCTTTCACCTTTACTTCCGTATCTTTGACATTGTTGATAGTGTCATTCAGATTGATTGATTCTGTAGCAACCGAGAAATCTTGAGAAAGTTTGTTCCTGTCCTCGCTTTTCGACCTTTTTTCTCTTGTTCTATCAGTGTTCTTAGAAAATGCGAACATAGACCTAGATTCGCGAGTTGATGATTTGTTTTGTATCACGACTGGTTCAATATCAGGCGATTTTCTTGACAGCTTCGTTTTCATTGGGTCATGTTTCTTCGGCAAAGTGGCGTATATTTCTATATTTTTAGTTGGCTGAGGAATGTCTTTCCATGGTACCGTGGGTTTTTTAGTACTCTGTTTGGATTGTTTGTCACTGTCTTTAGAGTTCTGCCGGGAATGTCGACCATGACTACTACTATTGCCATCACGTTCATTTTCAATTCTTCTATGCAAACTTCTAGCCCTCATGATACAAGTATTATGTTTCATTCTTGCCATTGTCATTAATTGTGGGTTATTATATGGCGCTTTTGTGGCTGCTCTCGCCTTTGATGCGGCAGCATTACACAGTGCCAAAGCTAAAACTAAATCGTGCTCATTCTCTAGTTGCCTAGATTTTATTAAAAGTTCATCAGCCTCTTCGCAAAGAATTTCACAACTAGGCGAGTTTTGATTATCGTTTGAATTGCCATAGTCTTCAGGAATTTTCGCGAGATGTCCCATCCTCATGAGATGTTCCAAAGTAGTCATGGACGAACTATCATTTGATGAAAGGGAGTATGAATCGTAGCCAGCATCGTTGATACCACCTCTACCAACTGATTGATCATTTGCTGTTCTTTGATTTTTGGAAACTTTATATTTTTCTGTTAGCTTTCCTGCTGAATATGGATTTTCCATGGAATTCGTTGAGGTGGAACAAGCACTAGTTCTATCTCCACTCCAATTCCCGCTGTCTCTTCTTCCTGGGACGTTCAACTGCTCAGGAATGAACATTCCTTCCAGGCCAGAGGAGGATCCATTGCTCAAAGTTCGATGTATATTAGTTTGGATCTTAGGAATATTGGTCGGCTGTCCTATATTGAAATCGTCTCTTCGAGCTGGAACATCAGCAACACTCGTTTGTTGAGAGATATGTTTTTGAAGGAACGAGGTATTCTGATATTCAGAAGGGGTGTGTATCAATGGAAGATCTCGGCTCATCGAATATCCCTCGATATTTGGGGTTATGGCACGCCTTGTTATGCAAACTGCAGGTTTTTCGGGGCTGGGAGTGACCGAACGTTTCAAAACAGTTTGTGACAGTCTGTGCGTCATCCATTCTTGCGATAGAGTGGTTACTTGTTTTGGAGCATGAAATGTGTCCACAGGAGTACCGTCTGATAAGGAGTAGAGTAGCAGCAACGGGTGATTCCTACAAATTCAAGAGGTTCACATGTAAATGTTGATGATATACAGGGTGTCCTGTGACTCAATGCCCATAGCTCAAGGGCATATTCCTTGAACAATTTCAAGTCGAAAGTGCATTATACAGTCTGTCCAAGATAAGGTGTTCAACCTTATGGGGATCTCGGAAAGGGTAGGAGATACTAAGTCGCTTAAATGGAGAAAAAGTTGCGCATTTGGAGGCTCATATCAAGAGCCTTCGAAAATTTCGAAAATTATTTTCAGTTTTTGAGTTATATCGAAAAAAGTGAATTTTTGTAATTTTTATTTTACTTTTTTTCTCCGTTATTATTAGAGATACAGAAAAACTGAAAATTCTTTTTCATAGCAACTTTTGATGACGTTTAATGTGGTGGTACCGATTTTTTTATGCGACGTTTCGAATTCGTGAAACCATCATCAACTTTTGTTTTTAAAATACGGTCCTGATAAATTTTTCACAGATTCTGAAAGGTTTTTTATCCTCAATTCAACCATGTACTATGCAAGGAGATTCGAATGTGTTTCGACCTATTTTCATCCATCATCAATGTTTTTTCGAACTTCCAAAGGAAAAAAGCCATCAGTTCCACTTATTTCTGATCATTTAGTCTCAAACTTGATGGATTAGGTATTCGATACTGAAAAGTGAATAAAAATTATTTCACACAATCAATCGATCAATGCAGCGTTTAAAATTGTTGATGAATTCTTACACGAATTACTTTAACAACTTAACTTTGACAATACCTACAGAAACATTTATAACAAATGTTCAAAATGATAACCATTATTTTCTGAACAAAGATATCCTCTTCTCACAGTTGCTTTTAAGACATTACTAAACATTTCTGGGGTTATTTTATTGAATGCTTCGATGACACTGTCCCTTAGTTCTTCTTCATCATCAAAATTAATTTGCGTATACGAAGTTTTTGATATATCCCCTAAGAAAAAATCCAGCTGTGTCAAATCAGGCTACCGCGCCGGCCAAGGAACTGTAGAATGAGTACCAATCCATTTCTCTGGATAAAAATGCACGGACTTCTCTGGAATTATGTACCGGATCTTGTTGAAACCAACAGTTCAGAACTTCCGCAATCGGTGAATCATCCAGAGCTTCCTCAAGATGATTCTCAAGCAAATTCCTATAACGTTCGGAAGTCTGTGTTTCATGGTGAATAAAAGGACCAATAATTCGTATACCAAATATTGCAACCCACATATCAAAGCCGAAACGGTGTTGGTGTCTCGCTGTAATGTATAAATGTTCATTATCTCGTGAACAATAATGTGTATTTTTTCTATCGAAGATACCATGATTAGTGACCATGCTTTCATCAGTCCAGATTATTGTTCGAGGGAAATCTGCAAAATTTTGACATTTCCTGGTATACCACTCACAGAATGTCCTGCGCCTTTCGTCATCGCCTGGTTTTAGCGCTTGACATATTCTGAATTTGTATGGATGGAATTTTTGTTTCCGCAAAATGAAATGGGTTGTTGATTGAAACCAGTTGATGAGGTATTAGTGTGTTGACTAATTTTCCTTCAAAATAAGTGGAACTGATGGCATTTTTCCTTTGGAATTTCGATAAAACATTGATGATGGCTGAAAATAGGTCGAAACACACATAAACCACTTTGTATAATACATGGTTGAATTCAAAATAAAAAAACCTTTCAGAATCTGTGAAAAAATTATCAGGACCATATTCAAGAAACAAAAGTTGATGATGGTTCCACGAATACGAAACGTCGCATAAAAAAATCGGTATCACCACGTTGAACGTCATCAAAAGTTGCTATGAAAAAATATTCTCAGTTTTTCTGTATCTCTAATAATAACGGAGAAAAAAAAAATTAAATAGAAATTCAAAAAATTCACTTTTTTCGATTAAACTCAAAAACTAAAAATAATTTTCAAAATTTTCGAAGGCTCTTGACATGAGCCTCCGAATGCGCAACTTTTTTCCGATTTAACCGACTTCGTAGCTCTTACCGTTTTCGAGATCCCCATGCTGTTCAACCTTATCTTGGACAGACTGTATACTTTTGTCCAAAACTCCATAATTGAGTAATAATGAGCAATATTAAATCTGTAACAGTGTGTAAGTAATGTATTTTATCAATTCAGAATTCTTGATTACTTACACAAATTTAATTGGAGTTTTGTTCAAAATGCCCCCTCCCCCCCTGCTGCTTTATAGCACATTCTTACTCGTCTAATCATTGGAAACGTTGCTCTCTGATCTGCGTTGTCTCTTAAGGATACAGCTGTAGTCATAATATTTTGAATTACCTCACCTCTGGTTTGTGGTTTATTTGAATACATTAGACTTCTCATGGATCCCCAAAGATGATAGTGGTCAGGTGACCTCGGTGGCCGAAGAACACTGAACCACCTCTTGCAATCTACTGGTGAGCGAAGTTTTCATTTAATTGCTCCTAACTCTTGTACTATTGAGTTTAGACAAAAGTGTATAGGGCACGTTCGACTTGAAATTGTTCAAGGAATATGCCCTTGAGCTATGGCCATCGAGTAACGGGACATGCTGTATAGAAGAATATAAGTTGAATATTAAACAATACAATATATAATAGAACAATACACGGGAGAAATTCAATATCTATCCGAATCCAAGAATATTTCGAGAAACATTCAGATTCATCGTTTAAGTTAGGAAGCGCAACTTAATTCTCAGTCATATATGAGAAGTGTCACTCAAATTTGAGAATAATAGTTATTTATGTATCAAGGGCGTAAAGTAGGCGTTTATGGCCTGTGGCGTGAATAATGGCCCGATGGCGCTAGCCGAGGGCCATTACACGCTGAAGGCCATAAACGCATTTCACGCACGTGATACATACAAAATTTTATGCACTAGTGGTTTATTTTCCCAAAAGTAATGACTACAGATTTCGATAAACTAATATTCCCCCGAATTTAATTTGTTTCGTATAAATTCAGTAATCAAGGGAAGCGTAATGTTCATGGATGATTTACATATAAAAATAATCGTACGAATATTGCAATTATCGTAATAGTCAAACACTTTGATCTCTAGAAGAGGTTCATTCTTCAGAATTTCACAATATGCATACCCAGTATATATACCTACCTAATTTTGACGTTGTCAAGCAAGCTGATGGTTGTTGTCTATAGCAATAGCGATACATCTAATAAACAAGCTGAATTGTCATTCTTTGACTGAAAAGTAAAAATTAGTGACAATACTAATAGCGAGACCAAGCGAGACTATGGAATCGGATAAAGAAGAAGTTTATCAGATACCGCTGGATATATTAGAATCAGCGGAAAATGCAAAGCTCGAATTACTACCAGCAAAGTCAAAGAAATTATATGAAAAGACGCATGATGAATTTATCAGATGGGGTGATGAAAATAATGTGAAGATGATCGCAGAAGATGTACTACTAGCATATTTTTTTGAGAAATCTAAGGATCGTAAACCCTCCTCTTTGTGGTCATACTATTCGATGTTGAAATCAACTCTGAATTTGCATAATAATACCGACATAAGCAAGTACCCAAGATTGATAGCATTTTTGAAAAGAAAGAATGATGGATATAAGCCGAAGAAGTCTAAAATATTGAAGAGGAATGGAATTGAACTCTTTTTGAAAAAATCTCCAGATGACGAATATTTAATGAGCAAGGTATGATCCACCTAATTTATTTGAGAAATTTCAAAACTGATGATTGATTCATTAATAGGTTATTGCACTTATATTTGGAATACATGGTGCCTGTCGCAGAGAAGAATTAACGAATCTTATGGTTGATGACATTCAAGATTTAACTGATGCTTTATTGATTACAATTAGAGAATCGAAAAATAAAATTCAACGAACATTTACAGTCATCGATACTCAAAACCAACCAGTTAATTATCTGGGTATTTATAGGAAATACGCTAGTCTACGACCCGCAGATACTGTACATAGGCGGTTTTTTGTATTCTATAAGAACAACAAATGTACAAAGCAAGTTGTTGGAAAGAATATTTTCGGTCAGATCCCTTCGAAAATTGCAACATTTTTGAAGCTACCGAGCCCAAAAGAATATACCGGTCATTGTTTCAGGCGTTCTTCAGCCACTTTATTGGCTGATGCGGGGGTAGGTATCACCAATATCAAAAGACATGCTGGATGGAAATCAACTACAGTAGCTGAAAGCTATATCGAAGAATCAATTTCAAATAAAATCAATATTGCTAAAAAAATTGCCAGCGATGATATCGGAATGATACCAGATGATCATTCAAACCAACCATCGACTTCTAAAATTAATACTACTCATTGTTCTCGTAGCAATGCCGATACTAGGCAGCAGCTCCCAAGAAGTTCCAATAATTGTCTTCAAGAAAAAAATGAATATCCAAATCTCAGCATAAATAGCTGTACCAACTGTATTATTAACATAAAATTTTAATTTATGTTAAGTTTTATGACATAATTTGATATTGAGAGAATTGTCAATTAATAAATAAATGTTGGTAAGAAGAGTTTTCCTTCATTGATCTGAATCTATTGACTCGTGGACAATATATAGGTATTCAAATACTGTATGAAGGTTAAATCGAGGAGATGCAATGTTCAATTCACGAGGAAAGCGAATCCCGAAAAATTTAGGAAAATGATCATATAATATTCATGAATTGATATGTGGACATAAGGAAACTGAGAACAGCGGGCGGTAAAGTGCACTTTACGGCCCGTGGGCCATAATGAGCCCGCGGGCGGTAAAGTGCAACTTAACGCCCGCAAAACCGGGCGATAAATTGCACTTTACGGCCCGCTAGTGCATAAAAACATATATAGAAAAAAATATTGAAATGACTACGTATAAATCGAACCTCACTATGTCTGAGCGTGATGATCAAGTAGAAGAACCTGAACTGGAGTTTGCTTATTTTTACTGCCATTCCAGTTTATTCAAATATTTAGATATAATCCCTGTTTGTAGAAATTATTATTTATATTCAATTTGCATTCAATTATAACCCAACAGCTGTATTCTTCATAAGAAATAGACAATTAGAATGGGGTTTGTTGATGATTAACCAAAATATTTCAAGTATCGAGTAGTGCACGAAACCATATACTACTATTATTCTACCCACCACTAATTCATCTTCACGTACCTAGTTTTAATCACAATATTCACTCAATATCGCAAATAGTATATTATTCCACAAGCATATAATCAGGGTTATTATTCACGAAGGTCGATGAAGTTAATGTCAAGAGCGTAGCGAGTGGCCTAATTAACCTGAGTGAAAAAAAGTTCATTATATGTGAGAAGAATACTATACTTTGTCCACGACTACTATTGTTTTCGATATATACATTCATTTTTAACAACTGTTTCATCATAACTCATTTAACATTAACGAAACTAAAAATTGAAGATACGACCTGTTGTATTAATTATCTGTCCATCACGACTGTTGTACTTCCTCAGGCAAAACGGTAGCCATTTTTCACACCAGTGAATAATAGTGGTGAATAACGAACTCTAGACCAGTGAATTATCGTTATTCACTGCTATGATCCACTGTTATGAAAAATAGCTACCGTTCTGCTTGAGGAAGTAGAGGTATTATGAATATTTTATACAACAGTCGTGGATAGAAGGTATTATATATTTGTTTAGGTATTCTTACATCTTCTTTGTATGAAATATCACCAATGTGAATTTTCTTTGTGAATTATAAATGTTTATCATTGCTTTCATATTTCAAATATTGTTTCAGGGCATGAAGGTATAGTTTATAGGTCCATGTTTCAGGGTCTGAATTGAGATTCTCATGCCATAATTTTGTATTGAAATCTATGCAACTAGATGAGGGTCCTGAGTTCGAATCTCCGATAGAAAAGATACTTTTTAAATTCATAATGCGAGTTATGGATTCCAAAGTTTTGTAGTCATGGTCGGAGATAATTCTGTACAATCCACTGGTGCGTTTCAATCAACTGTGCTGCTCATCAGGGGGCGTGTGGAGTCAGTAAATATGTCTATAGAACACGAAATAAAAAACTTCTCGTACAGTCGATGTTCAGTTGATGTGTACAAACACAGCAACAATTTTTTTCTCATTGCACAAACATTTGCTAGAGGGCCGTAAAGTGCACATAACCGCCCGGTTTTGCGGGCGTTAAGTCGCACTTTACCGCCCGCGGGCTCATTATGGCCCACGGGCCGTAAAGTGCACTTTACCGCCCGCTGTTCTCAGTCACCTTATATCCACATATCAACTCATGAAAAACCTATGATCATATTCCTCGATTCTTATATATCCAGCGGTATATCATAAACTTCTTCTTTATCCGATTCCATAGTCTCGCTATTATTATTATCACTAATTTTACTTTTCAGTCAAAGAATGACAATTCAGCTCGTTTATTGGATGTATTGCTATAGACAACAACCATCAGATTGATTGACAACGTCAAAATAAGTTAGGTTCATATACTGGGTATGCATATTGTAAAATTCTGAAAAAATAAATCTCTTCTAGAGCTGAAAGAGTTCTACTATTACGATAATTGCAATATTCGTACGATCATTTCCATATGTAAATCATCCATGAACATTACGCTTCTCTTGATTACTGAATTAATACGTAACCAATTTAATTCTGGGGAATATTAGTTCATCGAAATCTATAGTCATTACTTGTGAGTCAGAAAATAAACTACTAGCGCATAAAATTTTGTATGTATCTCGTGCGTGAAATGCGTTTATGGCCTTCAGCGTGTAATGGTCCTCGGCTAGCGCCATCGGGCCATTATTCACGCCACAGGCCATAAACGCCTACTTTACGCCCTTGATACATAAATAACTATTATTTACAACCATATATGTAATGTTGTCATTACTAACGTCATTGAAGGTTGGGAAGTGTCACATTACACACCTCTACCACAGATTAAGGTAAGGTTTGTTAATCTGTGCCTCTACTTCCCACCCTCACTTCCCGCCCCTCACTACTTCTTGTCCTCACTTCCTGCCCTCACTTCCTGCCCTCACTCATGTAATAGTTCAGAAACTGAGATTTATTAATTTTGATCGAAATATGATGGTTGTAAATGAAATAGTACACAAACCTCGGTAGGAAGTTTCATTCCTGTCTCGAAATCTTACGGCAGGAATGAATCACTTCCCATCTCGGTGTGTAATATACTATTTTGTGTATGACTCTTTCAGATACAATTTCATAAATGTACCGTTCTAGCTTGTTAAATGACATATTATACCCACCAACTGCAGAAATAATCAACTGAATTCGCTGAACACAGTATAGGTATGTGAAAATTGGGTCAACATTTGGTTCAGTTCAACATTCATCAGTTACTCACCTTCCTTTTCGACATTTCTCGACAACTTGATCCCATCTGGTGCCAACTTCGCTGACTGTCGTGTCGTCGAAATGGATCCAGATTCTCAATTCGGTGTGAAAGAAGAACGTCGAGTAATGTTTCCCATGGTATGTCACCATTCCAACCAATTCATGAACGGTTTGTTCTCCCCATCTTTGATCCACCACGTTGGTGAAAACATCGCTAACGCGCAAAGACGTGTCCACGATGGACAATACCTCCATCACGTGCTCAAAGGTGGGTCTTTCCGAGTTCCACACGAGACCGATGGATAGTATGTCAGGACGATTGGTCAGTGTCCGGCATACTTGGATGACGGTCCCACAGACATTCTGAAAAATGATATGTAAGTTGTAAAATGGAATATCTCACATCTGAATGGCATGTTTCATTAAGAATCGGTTTCATAAAGCATTCACAAATCATCACCAAACTGCTCTAGTGAATATATTCAACCTACCTACACTAAATAGTAGTTTATCGAAAGCTTTTAAGTTTCAACCGCGACAAGTTTTTACCTTCAGTTAGCATACGGTAACCATCATAATAAAGTGTAATAATTTTTGTATCCATCATACAGTTTCAAGGGGCCGAGAAAAATATATAGGATATTCAGAATTTCCTCCGATGAGTCGGAAAAAAGGTTTATTGAATGGCTTGTAGAAAACCGTGATCCCCAAGAATACCATCAATGGGTCAATCACATCCTATAGAGTAAAGATAACTGGAAGAAGTTTTAGATGAGACTGGACTCGAGCCATGTTCCAGTAGAATTGGACCAACAAACAAAACTATATGGTTCGGAAGAACTCACTCTGATATTGAAAAATTTATGAAAAATATTTACAATATATTGAATATACATTTCTAATCATATAGGTAACCTCTGTTTACTGTTGGCTTACTATACTATAATCTGAGTTACAGTAGAAGGAGACTTTTGTTTAAATTTTTTTCTAAAATATGTATATATCGCAACTTGGAAATTGGAAATCAGTTCCTCAAAATTCAAAACTTAGCAGGGTTAGAAAGAGCAGTACTATGGACACCTAATCTCTTCTAGGTGCCGTGATGCTGCCAGGATTAGAATCTCACGAACCTTATATTCTTTTGTGAAGAATGCTCTAGTGATAGCCGGGTTCGAGCCGACAGCACTTCTAAAAAATAGCAACAAAACACAAGATTGCTTTTTCTCTAGGAAAGCCGAACTCACTGTGCCCAACATGAGCTTGTCAGGAGTAACCATACCTCTGAAGACATCGATTTCGATGCTTGGTATTACTATCAGCAATAACCTTTCGTGGGAAAATCACGTGAGATCAATTGCTAGAAGTGCATCTCAAAAACTTGGTTTTCTGTCTTGGGCCAGGAGATATTTCACTTCCAGCCAGCTTTTCATGATCTATAAAGCACAGATCCGACCTGTCCTAGAATACTGTTTCCATATTTGGAGTGCAGCACCCAAACATACACTGAAACTGTTGGATTCTGTCCAACAAAAGGCAATTCGTCTCGTGGGTGATGCCTCGCTCACAAACTCACTCACTTTTCTGGAACACCGTAGAAAAGTTGGCCATCTGGCTCTATTTTATAGATATTTTCATGAACGATGCTCTTCTGAAATATCAACAATTGTTCCTCCCTTGACAGTCCCCGCTAGATTAACCCGTCGAGTTGAGGCTTCGCACCCCTTCGTGGTCACTTTGGAGACCTGCAGAACATCTGTTTCCAAAGACTCGTTCATCCAACGAACAGCGAGGCTCTGGAACACATTGCCAAGGAAGGTGTTTCCCGAGGCATATAACCCCCAGAAATACAAGAAGAACGCCAATTCCTACCTTATTTCCCTTGGTTCTCACGATGTTCTCTGAACATTACAGGATATTCCTCTTCGTGGGAACCAGAACATGAAGAAAACACTGTCTAGCAAGTCAGTTTCAATGTTTAGACCACTCGGCCACTGTGCCTCCTTAAAATTAAGGCTTACATTTCCAGTTTACTCAGTTGGCGTTACTGAAACTTGAGGTCAATATATGTTGGTTCCTGGATTGCTCCGAAGGACTAAGGCTTGTTATCCCGAAAATGCGTAGAAAAAATGGTGTGCTCTATATGAACAAAAATAAAAATTCAAGTATTACAATGCCAAGGATGGACATTAGGCAGGATTGAGTTGTCTACTTCCAATGTGGAACTTGCGCATATTTCCCATTATGACCGAGGAAAAGATATCCTGAAGTTCAAATTGGGCCATATCATCAAGATGATTTATACTCATAATTTAAAGTAAATTCGATAATTATAGATTGTTGAATCACGCACACATGTGTCTTAGCAACAATGTTTCTCTATAGCATGTACTTTTTGTAACTACCTACCTGACTTGAAGCACTAAAGTTAACCTGACTCGAAAGCGCTTTGCAAAATAAATATTGACGCACGGAATATAAATTAATATTATTTCTCCTAGTCCTACTCCGATATTCATAAGACTAAATGAAACGAAAAAAATATTATCCAAGACCTCACGACTGTCAAAACATGTTTTAGCCCTTAACTGAAAACTAATCCTTATGTCAGAGGGATGCACAGACTTATAGGAAACAGGGGCCACTCGGGTCTCGGGAAAATTATAAGCCAAGTACGGGCCACTACAAAGAATACATATTAACAAAAATATGTATATTTATAAATAGTATGAATTACTACAAATGATATGGCTGCAATTGGCTGAATTGATTTGTGTTCTGAAAACACTTCGCACTGAAAGTACGAAACATGAGAGTATAACTAGGCGAAATCAATTGATCTTTGACTTGGAGCCGCGAATTTAAGACATTCAATGAGTAGGAGGGGGATACCGAGCTGTCCTGCGCAGTAAACCTGAATAAGAAAGTAGTCGAGTAGGTAGGACAATAACAAAAATCGACATAAAATAAAAAGTGAAATATTGATTCAAATAGATATTCACCTTCTTTCGAAGTTTTTCGAATAATTTTTAAAATTTGTTGGCGGGCCGCGGTTTGTGCATCCCTGCCTTATATCATCAAAGGAGACAACAATGAATAAATAAATAGAAAATCATCATTACGTTACAAAACCGTTACTTATCATAACCGCCTGCATGTCAAGTAATATTTGGTATTCTTGTGGAGTAACATATTGTTACCAATTCTGAGGAGACGATAGCACGTCACTCTAGAACAGTTCTGCGGGCTGTGTGCGTTTTCTTCATGATATGCTACTAAGGCGAGAGATCTGGACTAATGGAAGTAGATTTCGATAATAAACTATTGTTTATTCGTTATATTAGAAAATATATTTCCGAAAAAAATTTTTCATTACATATACATTTTATATTCTAAGAGGTCGGGCAACTCCACTGGAACAGGGCTCATATTATTATTATGATACCAATGATCAATGTGCTGGACAATATAACGTGAGGAATTCAAGATTAATGTGTTGATGTACGTCCTTAACTTCTTCGAATTGAGTTCTTTTGTGATGGATGAGTGATTGAAAAATACCTGTTGATTTATTTCTATTTATAAGTATTTGTATCAACAGCCTTCCTCTCCTTAGAGTCAGAAAAGCCTCAGTTTCAGTTTGTACTCTTTCTTTTGTGCTGAATTGGATTTCATGCTATAAGAATGTAATTTCTTGGAGAGCGATAAAATACTTAATTATGTATATAATTCTCAAATGTAATGAAAAGAATAGATCCAGGCGTATTGTATAGGTATTCGCACAACCACAAATAGAATTCAGAATGAATAGATAGGTAGAGCTTGATATATACTTACAGAACATTTTCGGACTTCTCCCATTCCTCCTGCTCTTCTCAGATGGATACCAAATCGGTCGTACTTTGAGTAATCGGCATTCAATCTACCTTGATATACTAGAGCTGATGTGGAGACATAATGCACCATCTGAAATAACATTGAAAAGGATTCATTAGATTTCAGTCATGTGAATTATTTGATAGTTTCCCATATTATTTGATCATACATTGTTGGTGAATAGCATGCCCATTTTACACTTTCTCTGTTTGGAATAGTTCCAGAAAAATGTATACATTGTAAACTCCATTCCCACTTCCCGAAACTATACCAGGTAATATATGTATAATAGAAATAACGTTTAAAATAAAGATAAATGATTCGAATATAAGAAACAGCTTAAATTTTCTTCTGAAGAGATGCCTGGCATTGCTAACTTCTGTCGATCGAGGCATTGAAAAATCTTCTCGGAGTGCCATGTGAGCATTACTGCCAAACCATAATTGGAATGATAATTCTAATTAGTGCACATATGCTGGTTCTGGTCTCATCTTTCCCATATTATGCTAGATTTACAATAGCGTATACGTGAAAGGCGCCGTTTCCTTTACGTCACGCATTCGTCAAAAAACGTAGAAGGATGCAAATAAAGCGTGATACATGCGTGACGCTTTTGATAGTAATTTTCCTAACAAATGCGGAAAGTGATTCTTTCCCTCACGCGACTGCCATTGACACGAACAACGCGAAGCGGAGTTCGGGCAAGCAGTCGAGTGCGGGAAAGACACTTTCCGCATCAGTTAGGAACAATATTTTTTCTAAAAGCGTAGGAAATTGATTGATTTGTTCAATTAATTATTCATTCATATTCGCGAGATCCACGAAGTGGGCGACATCTAGGTCGTTACATAATACGAACTACAAACTGGGGGAAACAGACTGTTGTCTATGGAAAAAGTGCATAGACTGCATTGCATTGCATACATACATATGAACAGTGCACAAGCTAATGGCACTAATGGGATTGAGTGAGGATTGAGTTTGTTTTCCCCCAGTTTTGACGTGGCTTTGACATGGAACGATGAAAACCGAGCGCCACCTGGTAACATTGATTCCCGCGAATAGGAACAACTAACAAGAGAAATAGATTCTGAAGAAAAAAAAAATTGTATGTGTGGCAATCCCACTGAATCGAAAATGACAGTAACGCTGTGTCTGTCACTTCGACAATAACAAACTCATTTGAGGTTTGATTGGCATGACGACAATAATCGTTTCTCATCAGATCAATCCAAATCTATAGGGGGATTTTTATAATAATCAATTTCTATTTTTCAATGTTTCTTAATTTTCACAATAAATAGTGCAATTTGATGGATGATTCTGAACATACATACTTGATACTGCAACAAACAAACTCAAACTCTCATATTCCATCACCTACCACTTATATCGTCAGATCAATCCAAATCTATAGGGGGATTTTTATAATAATCAATTTCTATTTTTCAATGTTTCTTAATTTTCACAATAAATAGTGCAATTTGATGGATGATTCTGAACATACATACTTGATACTGCAACAAACAAACTCAAACTCTCATATTCCATCACCTACCACTTATATCGTGCCATATTATCATATCTTTGTATTTTCCGCACTAGTGCGGAAAAAATTTTCCGCACTCTTGTGGGAAAGATGTTCCTGTACTGTTGCGGGAAAATGACACTCCCCAAACTAAATTGCGTGCGGGTATAGGGTGAATCACGCACGCTTGTAGAAAAAAATTGTTTCACGCTTTTTTCTTTTCTGGCGCCTGTGTAAACCATGCAAGATACTTTTTCTCGTATATTTATCAGCATGGTGTGGATAGGGGCTGATTAGGCCTGAACCCGCATAACTGCACCATTCTCTCAACCCGAGAGCTAACCTGAGTATACGATAATGTTTCTGAAGAAGCTCCACAGGACCTGCAGACGCTCTGCTCAACGAGGATCATCGCGAATTTCTGGTGAGTGATGCAATGCCTCGCGTTGCATATGTCTTCTTCTTCGTCTTGGGCGATGTGAGTGTGGATACGTCGAAGTATGTTTTCGAAACATTCCGTTGCATCTTCCACCAAACCGAGCTGGAACCCATTCTGGTCGAAGAAACATTCTATCAATCCCTTGGGTTGGGAATCCGGAGGCAGCACAGTCTCCTTGGAAAACTGTAGCTGATAAAAGAGTTCCTGGAAGAAAAGGGTAGGTAGCGTGAAATTTTGGAAAGATGAAACATGCATTTTTCTGACAACAAAATCTGAGACAAATTCGAATCATAATACCTGGTGATTTTCTAGAGAAAACAGACCTTTTTTCAATAAATATCAGCTCTTAGTTATGGCCATAGACCAAAATAGGTATATGGTTATGGCTATAGGTTCTTCGAAACATTTCTTAGTTCCACTCCTAGTTTCAACAGAAATTTACAATGAACACCTGAACACCTAGTAGGTATATCATCATAAATTATTCAGATCTATGACAGCACAAATATTGCGAAGTTATCGGAGGAAACCTATTATTCTTTTAAATATGCCATGTGTAACTGGCAGAGAGAATTGAGTGAATCCGATACATAAATAATATTTTTCTACTCACTACATGGAGAGAAAGCGTTTGCTCCCTAATTCAACGAGACAAACCAGGCAATTTACTCTCACGGTAGGAAAAATAATTACCTCCCGTGGGATGTAAAATAAATTGGCTTTAGGTAGAGATATGCGTATAAGATTTGTGCTGCAAAAGTACCTAATCAGTGTCTCCATCACTACTATAAAACAAATAACAATTCATTTAGTCCCATGTGTGTTAAATGCCCTCTGCTACGCGTCGGACATCAAATTTCACACGCGTGAGGAAATTGATGCCTTTGCTCCCTTGATATATAAATAGATATCATCTCATTATCATTGAGGAATATATTCCCGACCATATAACTTCATAAAAGTTGAAAATTTCACCTTTTTATCTTTCAATGTCTGAAGACAATCCCAATTCGAATATGGAATATTGTATTATGGCTAATCCATTTCAAAAAACTGCTACCTCGATTTTCACACAAATCTGAATCCTCCTGATGTATGCTTGATTCGTAGAATGAGACAAAATAAAATCGACATGTTCCATAGTTTCTGCTGTACATCATCTACATATGCATAAATCATAAAAGCAATTCCAATAGCTGACGCCACGAAAAAAATTGAAGCAACTCACCTTGAGGGCACAGAAAATGCAGGCTTCTTTCATACACACATGTCCAGAGAGTTCGCGAAAACTTCGTCGAAAGACATCCAGGTGCCAGAGGACCTGTGAAAAATAAAAACAATAACCAACTTTTAATTCATTTATAATAATTATAGCAATAATGATCAAGATAAAAACTCGTCTTTAATCAGCATATGCAGAAGAACAAATATATAAAGATAATATAATCCATCGAATGCAATGGTGAATATGCAGAGTATCAGCAAGAAGCTATATTTTTCAATACATTGACTACTTGATGTATGTACCTATGCATGTAAGCATGTATGACATGTAATTTCAGGAGCTGATGAAAGAATTAGAGATCGAATGTAACAATTCTTCTAATTGACCGATAAAAAAAAAAGTTGTGCTCCATAATATATGGGCCGAATTCAAAATCGAATTACTGATTGATCCCATGACTAATTTCTATGGAGTTTTCAGTTGGCTAGCCCAATTTTTCAGTTAATCGTCAGAGTAATATGGAAATATGGAAAATATTTCTCTTAATTTTTTTTTACCATGATTATAAATTGAGCTTGATGACACATGGTTTTCTCACTTCCATAGAAGAAATGGAGTTTCATATTATAAACATGAAGTTCGATGTCTCGTTTCGAAATGGTGTCGAAATTTTTTCAAATCTGATTCCGAATTATAAATATGTAACTTTTCATGCTCACTTTATGAAAAATCTATCAATTATCGTTAGGGAACTGGCATGAGAGCCATCAGAACCATTATAAGACAGGATGCTTACATAGCATTGTGAGAACTAGGGCTGTTCGATATTGGAAACTCGATATCGACATCGGTGCGTATGCTTTGGTATTGATATTTATCGATATATCGATATATTTTTGTGATCATATCGTTATTGGATATATCGATATTTTTGCATAGCCCTATAGTGAGAACCATTCGTCGGAAGCATCCATCCATGGACAGCTAGGCAAGTGAACAATGTAGGTACATACCTACTGACGAACACAGTCAGCTAGAAGAGGGCTGCACGAAGATCACGAGGATTGGGGAATAGGAGAGTGGAGTATATAGATGAATATTTCTTGATGAGAGTAGGTTCAATATGTATAAGTCAGTGGCGTGCCCAGGTTTTTGTTTTTCAGCGAGGAAGGGGAGGGGAGTCAACAGTTCAATATAATGAAAAAAATTACACGATAACTACCGATAGCACACGTCGCTTCGAATGGATCTTGAGGGGTTCAATAGACAGATGAAGAAAACGAAAAAGACAAAAACAAAAAAAAAAAAAAAGAGAAAACAGCAGAAATTCAAAAAATGAAGAAGAAGAATTAGGTACGTCACCATACGATTTAAATTTTTACCCGTGCATACCTCGGACCCTCGATTGCTCGAAGCTCACCAGCAAGACACCGTGCAATGAAAATGCAATGGAGGAAATGTAATGTATGCGACAATTGAGACCTCAAGCATCAAGAATAATTTTTTTATGTTCTGGTCCCCACGAAGAGGGGAATTCAACAGTTTCAGAGTATGTTTGGGTGCTGCACATGACATTGATTCTTTCTAATAATTGAATATAAGTTTGAAAAAATAGAATATTACGTAACCAGTTAGGAAACGCGTCATTTTATGTAACGATGGGATTTTGCGAACGATTAAAGCGGGATCCCGCTAAACAAAAGTTACTTACATGAAATGTCATTATAACGTCAAACAATTTCCGATTTAATTCGCTGTTTGGTAGGTACCCAAGAAAAAAAGTCAATTAAATTGATGAAAACATTTTTTTTAATATTTGGAGGGTGCCACTTTTTCGAAGAGTTGTTTATCAAGAAAATTTACAACGAATACTTACCCACCATCATTTTCATTTTTCCGTGTTATTTAGATACACCCTGTATAATTTATATGAGATACATACATACATGCATCATATACATGGTGTATATACATTTCATTTCACGTTTCTCGAAGTACCACTCATCGAAATTTCCTTGTCGCGATTATACATACAAAAAATATTATTTAGAATATCAAATATTTGAATTATTTTCCCCTCCGCATAAATTTATTGAAAAATCACAACTGGTATAATGTAATGTAAATTATGTAAAATCAGCTGGAAAAACACATCACCGCAAGCCGTCGGTCCCTTTGAAAGTTCAAAGAGTGCGGCAGCGTGGCCCGACATTCGTTTGATCATCTGTTCAACTGACTTTGCATAAACTTTACCGTTAGACTTAACAGACGGCTACATTACGACTCGGAAAAGCAGGAGTTCTTTCCACATACGCATGCGAAAATACGATTTTATCATTTTTTGCAGCTTTTTTGCCTAACTGGGAAATTATGTACTTTCCCCTCCATATCTTTTTGAATGTTCATTTGACAAAAAAACTGTAGAAAACTTTTTCCTTCAGAATTCAATGTACTTTGTATGTATGTATTTTGTATAACGTGACCTTTGCACTAAACTTCATAGTTTTCAAGATGTATCTAAAAAACTGCGAAATAAATGAATTTTCCGACTTTCCACTCTTCCCCCAACCAAACCCCGACGCTCGGTGGGGTGTAACTTTTCACTACGTGCTGAGGGGAGTAGAAGGAAGAATTTGGCGCAGGGGGGAACTTGTTTTTTGATGTTTGGGTTTAGGTCTAGTTTTATCGTACTAACAAACATAACAAAACGATACTATTTCTCCTATACAAAATCAAACCAAACACGACCTAAATGATTCTTCTTACTTCTTCCTAGAAAGTATATTTTTCGGAAAATTACTTGAGAGAACCTTCAGATCTATGAGACAACGAAAGAGACTACTGTTTTAACCAGACTCGGCATAAACTAACATTCCTTCCGTCATTACAGGAAATGCCTGCAAACGGTGTACAAAATTTAGAGTTACGCTGTTTTGCCGGCAATACGTGAAATTACTAGTCATTTCAGAGAATGGCGGATTTCACTGTTTGGTGCCGACAAATATGTATACAGAGTGACATTTTGAAAACTGATCACCCTCAATATCTCCCTTCTAGGTCAAGTTCCAAGACAGGTCAATTTTATTTTCAAAGAAGACGCTTAAAATTAATATTTTTAGCCTCTTGGTTCAACCCTAGGAAGTGTAGATGTTACCCTTAGAGTCTCGAATGGGAAGTTAGGTCAAGTGGCACATCATTTTGAAGGGCGTTCAATTCTCTTTCCAACGGTACTCTAGTTTATCATTTTCTGTTGAGCAGTTTACGAAAAATTCCGTATCAATTAGAAAACTTTCCACCCTCAATATCTTCCTTCCAGTAAATAATATGAAAAATCGAAAAGATAGGTCAATTTCATTCTCAAGGAGGACACTTTAAATGCATATTTTTAGTCCTCTTGGTCCAACCTCCTAGGAGGGGTAGATGTTTCCCTTTCGACCTTATTTGAAAAGGGGGTCAAGATGCACATTATTTTAAAGGGCGTTCAATTCTCTTTCCAACGATACCCTAGTTAATCATTTTTTGATGAGCAGTTTCCGGAAAATGCCGTTCTAAATATACAAAAGAAATTAGAACATGCTTACACAGACATACATTCAAAATCTACCTACCATTTGGAACCTATAACAGATTCGCACAGCAATGTTTGTCAGGTTCAACTAGAACAAAAACACCAAAAAAAAACGAGATTCGACGTGTAAAACATCATTTTTGTTCTATTTATTTCTTCGGTTTTGTATTTAGTTGAATATCAATAAGTAAGGAACAAGTGTTTTATCTTTATTTTAACCTAATTTTCGACTTCTGTATGTATGGTCATATTGCCGACACCGTGTTGAAGTTCCCGTAGTTTTCATGTCATCGCAACGTCAGATGATGACCTTGACTACCGCGAATAGGGGACCCACATAACGAGACCATAAATAGTTTCACCAATTCACCATAAAAAAATTTATATTTTATATGAATATATTTAACTAGCGTAGGTGATCCATAACTTACAGTGGAGTTGATATAAATCAGGAGAGATGACAAAACTTACAGTCACAAGTCTTCCACCCCTCCTGATGAATATATTTTTTAGAGTAAGCATACTTTTTTTGTATGTTCTGGTTCCCACGAAAAGGGATATCCTGTAATGTTCAGAGAACATCGTGAGAACCAAGGAAAAGAAGGTAGGAATTGGTGTTCTTCTTAAATTTATGGAGGTCATATGCCTCAAGAAACACCTCCCTTGGCAATGTGTTCCAGAGCCTCGCTGTTCGTTGGATGAACGAGTCTTTGGAAAGAGACTCGGAAAGAGATATTCGGCAGGTCTCCAAAGTGACCACGAAGGGGTACGAAGCCTCAACTCGACGGGTACATCTCGCGGGGACTGCCAAGGGAGGAACAATTGTTGATATTTCAGAAGAGCATCGTCCATGAAAATATCTATAAAATAATGCCAGATCGCCAACTTTTCTATACGGTGTTTCAGAGAAGTGAATGAGTTTGTGAGCGAGGCATCCCCTCGAGACGAATTGCCCTTTTTTGGGCAGAATCCAACAGTTTCAGGGTATGTTTGGGTGCTGCACTCCAAATATGGGAACAGTATTCCAGGACAGGTCGGATCTGTGCCTTATATCATAAGCAGCTGACTGGAAGTGAAATAGACCCTGGCCCGAAACAGAACACCAAGTTTTTGGGATGCACTTTTAGCAATTGATCTCACGTGATTTTCCAAACTCATGCATATATCGCTACCTATATCTCCGCTACGTAATTATTGGGTAACATCGTTGAATAGTTATAGTGTATTCGTCAGGGATGGATACAGGGTATTTCAAAAATCCATCAGAATCGGAAAAGTTTCATCCACATGATTATATCCGAGAATTCTTTCTTATGGAAGTTACAGCACTTCAGAGATGGGCCACATATGAAAATGGTCTTCATTTCGATATCTCCGACACCGTTCGATGGAAGGAAACGGAAGTTGGCACAATCGATAAAGATAAGAAAAAGTCAGATTTTAACTGTGGTCAGACGGGCTCATGATATTCTGGAGAAGTGGTTTGAACAAGGGGACTGGAGAATGAAATGAATGAAAATTCTTTGTATAATTTTGATATAATTTTTATACTCGTTCTTATATGATATTCCTCGTGATATGTGAACATAATCGGAAATTGTTATTGCAGAAGTTTACAAAAAAAATGTTTTCATTCAATATCTCCATCAATGGATATTGATTGAAATATCGGGTGAAAAACTCTGTATAATCAAGAGTAATATATAATTTTCGATAATTATATAGTTACTCGTATAGTTACGAGTACACATTCTTGCGCATTCTTGTTGATAGTTAAAAATACATGGATGAAGAGGATTATTACTCAATAAAATTCTACCTAGTGAATTAGTATCGGCAGAGAGTGCATCCATGGCATAGATATAATTGATTTGAGAATTTTTCATTCTGAGCAGTAAAGTATTATACTTTTTTGATTTAGCAAATTCTTGCGCATTCTTGTTGATAGTTAAAAATACATGGATAAAGAGAATTATTACTCAATAAAATTCTACCTAGTAAATTAGTATCGACAGAGTGCATCCATGGCATAGATATAATTGATTTGAGAATTTTTCATTCTGAGCAGTGAAGTATTATACTTTTTTGATTTGGCAAAATAACATAATTATAGGTATTTTGCATGGTATATTTTGTTCAGTAAATATATTAGGCAGGTATTTATTATTATTTACTTTTACTGAAAAAAATAGCTTTGTCCTAGATGGAGGTATAAGTGAAATAGGAAGTAGTCAATTACCCATCTACCTACCTGTATTTTCTGTAGTCATTAAAAGAACAGGTACCTATAGGATTAGCTATCCTGTCGAATGTCAGAAATGGTTACGCGAAGACAAGCCCAAGAATAATTAACCTTGAACCTTGGGCATTTAAAGAACCACTACGAACAGAATCTTGAATATTCCTTTTGCGGTCAGACGTAATATGTCCTATACTACTATCGTTCAATATTCCAATATATAGAAACCTTTTCATATTCTATGTTTTTCATCATTCACCTATTGGGAAATATTTACTTTGTGTCTCGCGTATACAAAGAGATAACTTCTCCGTCTGAATCAAGATGGCCACATAACAGAATGGAATAATATAAATATGCACTCACCTTTGCAATCTGATAAAGAGCCTTAGGTCTAGATGGTTTTCCCTTCGTCATATTTTCAAACACATATCATGTTGCACACAAAATATTAATTATTATCGAAAACCCGCCACTTATTGAAGACAATCGATTTACGGTACCACGCACACTCTCTCCTCCAACGTAAACGTACTCAGTCACTTCATTGTTATTAGCCTTACCTGTAAGATACGGCCAGCCAGGCCAGGTAACGCTGAAGCCAACAACACCCAAGAAGGATGAGGGGACAGGGGACACACCTTCCAATAAGAGAATGTCTGTTCGGAGCACTCGGAGCGTGGCCTCTTCGTCTTCGTAGACTCGGTAGGACGCCAAGTGTGTATAATATGCCAATTAGGTCAAAGGTAAAGAGTGAAACAGATTTAGGAGTCACAACAAAGGCTCTTGCCGTCTAATACAACTTCTCCAGTAGAGTTCTTCTGGGCAACGACTAGGTGCCATAGACAAAGAATTATATAGACTATCTAGATTTTTGGGGTTTTCTCTCCTCGATCGTCTCTATAAATGGAAAAAATTGTATTATTTCAATAAAATCATAAATATTATGATATCGAAGACAACGCAAGTTACCGAAAAGACTTTGATGCTTCGTCCATCGTCATTCTGCGACATCTCCAGAAGATATATTTATAGACCAGTTTATTATTCTGAGGTTCTCAATCTAGGCATCGATTATCGAACATCAGCTTTCAGACAGTTGATGTTCGATCATCTAGGTTTGGTAGCTAGATATGAAACTGAAACAATTGACAGGACAATGTAACGCTATATTATGAATTATTACACATGCATACGTCCGTACATAAACAGTATATGCACAATTGGTAACCATTCCTTTCTCGTTTGTGTGAAAATGTAAAACAAATAAAAAGACTAAAGGTATATTCATGCTTGTACGAATTCCGCAAAATTTATGCGAATCGCTGAATATGAATTTCCCAACAGAATTCGACGTTCATACTCATGCGATGAAATATACCGGAGATAAGGGTATGGTTGTCATATATAATTTCATTATTTCTGGTCCCACCATTGATAGAAATTCATCAAATTGAAGGCACGTTACACGAAAGGTATTGAAATATTTATTAGGGTCATTCAGTCGCATTTATCGAACGAGGCTGTACTAATCTCCATTCATTTTTATGCATTGAGAAATGCTTCGAACAGTACAGCTCCTTTTTTGCTTCTGGATACATCATTAGTTCTATAGAGACGATACAGATGATACTTTGAAATTATTTCGTACAGAGAATAATTCTGTACTTACATGTAGTCTAATGTCAGTAATGTCTAGTCCCTTCTTTTTTCGGCCTCTGCTGCCCGCTCTCTTATTCCCCAATTTTGATGTTATCAAAATAACAACACATTTTATGTGGTTATTCTATCCGAATTCGTAAAAAAGTTCAAATATTTCAACTTCATCGCGATATTCGCAGTAGCCATTTCATTCGCATAAATTTTGCGGAATTCGTACAAGCATGAACATACCTTTACTGATACTGCAGATGAATGTGAACGATGTTGTACTCGCCGAGGGTGCTAGCCCCCCTATAACTGTACCACTGTACTCTCCATTTAATTCCCTGATCATATATCCGTGGTCATTGTAATACATTATATATCATATGGTTTATTGGTTTTTCAAATCTATTCTTCGACGACTATAGCTAGTGAGAGATACGATGTTGCTCAAATTAGGACAAAGGTGTGCATGCTGATGCTGAACAATAATCTGCCAAAAAAATCTGACATAGCTTCCTTATTTCTCAAGATGTCGCAGAAAAACTGATTTTTGCGATTTTCGCTTTTATTTTTTATAGGAAAACCGATCGTTATACATTTTTAACCAAAACATTTCCAAAGTAGTTTATTGCAAAGAATTCGAAAATGATATTACATTCATTTTAACACACGAAGAAAGAAACAAACGACAGCCAACTTATTTTTTTCTCATGGACGCCTTATTGAATTTTTATATTTCTGAATACAGTTTTTTTCTGATTCCGACGATGTACTACACAACATATTTTGGTTTCATATCATGATCGAAATTTACTAATTAATTAATTAATTAAGTTTTTAGAAGATTGTCATGAAAACTAATTCGTATAATTCCTTGATTTCGAATTTTGACAGTTCAGTAGTTTTTATACTATAGAAGTTCACTCCTTTAGATTGCAAAATGTCATTTTCCAATGAAGAACAGAGATAAATGTTGGAAATTAATTATGCTTGTCATCGAAATGTTCAAGTATCAATTGGAACATATTTACAACGTTCTCCTGAGATTTCCTCGGATATTTCCTAGGTCTCCATCACAGAAATCTGAGTCAATATATATGGTTCATTTCGGCGGCCCAGGCATAAATATTGCGAGAGAGCTGATGAATATGAAGAAAACATATTACAAGCGGTAAAATCTAATAAGAAGACGAAGTATCGAAAGGGCAATAATTGCAAATGTGAGAAAACGTGCAAAATCATGTATAATGATGAAAGGTGGACAGTTTGAACAGCTTTCCTGATTATTCATACTTTGCCCTTGACTTGTTTTTCCTAAGGATCGGTTACCTGTTAATTAAAAAATTAAATTTTCAATATAATATTATCTCTCTGTTCTTCATTGGAAAATGGCATTTTGCAACCTAAAAGAGTGAACTTCTAGCGTTAAAGAACTGTACTGAACTGTCAAAATTCCAAATTAAAAAATTCGACAAATTTATTGTTCCTTTGGCAATCTTCGAAAAAATGTTAATTAGGAAATTTCAACAATGATATGAAACCAAAACATCGTCGGAATCAGAAAAAAAGCTCTATTCAGAAATATAAAAATTCAATGTGGCGTCGATGAAAAAAAGTTGACTGTCGTTTGCTTCTTTCTTCGTGTGTTAAAAATTGTGTAATATCATTTTCGAATTCTTTGCAAAAAACTGTTTTGGAAATGTTTCGGTTAAAAATGGCCAACCTAATAAATTTTCCTAGAAAAAAAAACGAAAATCGCTGAATTCGGTTTTTCGGCGATATCTGTAAAGCTAAGATAGATCAGATTTTTTTTCAGATTATCCTTCAAGACTATGATGCGCAACTTTCGCCCTATTTCAGCGACATCGTATTTCTCAAGATATCCGAGATCCCCGAATTACGGGCACCCTGTATATAAGCTACCAATAGATTGTGTCATCTGTTGTGTCTAGTTGTTCAGATGTTTCACGTTAAAATCGTTACATAAGTAGGTATATTTTTTGTTTTTTGTTACATATACATACTATAAATTATTTTTCAATTTCCAAAACATCAGATTCTTACTAATTCTTCTAATTAACGAGAAACATCTCGAAAATTGAACAAAAAGTTTTAAATAATCGAGTACACCACACAAGTACAGAGGCGCGACGTGAGAATTGATGCAGTGTAGAAATTTGGGTGGGAAAAGGGGTCATGCCCCAAATTTGATTTTGATCCCTATATTATTTATCAGAGCCATTGGATAATAAGTACGTCGAGCTTTCTTGGGATTTGATATATTTGTATTTATTTCAAAATTTCAAATGGCACCCTGTATATAATCTGCTCTCTTGGTTTCGACGCCTATTAGGACCAAAAATCTATCGACAGTCAGTGACACCTTGTTTGAAGAAGACTATATAGATGTATTGAAAGAATATGAAATTCTACTACGCTGTTGCTGTTATCTCTGGACAATCCGGGAACGAATCTGCTCCCATCAGTTTCAACATGAAAATGAAAAATAATTCTTGATAATGATGTCTTCGTTCAATTGTTTTGACACTTCTCAGTGCCAGAAATATCTGATGTGTGTTACAGTTTTTTTCATCGATCTTGAATATCTAGTCTGGGTATAAGAATTGATGACGTTCACACAGTTTTCACTGTAAACTTATCACCAACACAGTATATATATTTGTTGAGATAAGCCGGGAATGTATCGTAAGTAGATTCTTTGTTATTGATGGTTGTTTTTGTTGTGGTGTATTTCGTTTGTTTTCAGTCTGTTGTATCGTTCTATCAATGGAATTGAAATTATTATCATTAATGTATTAGTACATTACCTACTCTGCTTTTGACATGGACTACTCGCTATTCTATGCGAGAGTCTAAAAACCGTGAGCTAAAATCTGATATTTTTCCGGTTTATAATACACTATGTTTCTCTGTGACAGAGAAAAGGACGAATCAAATTGAGATATTACATTATATTAAAATAAGAAAAGTATCGACGTGCAATTATAAGATTTTAACAGGAATGCCACCTGCGTTGCAGGCATCTTTATAATTCTTAAGAAGTACCTAATCAAATATCTGTCAGTCTAATTATGTGATTTGATTTTCAAAAGCTGCGAATTTAGTGGTTGTTCAGTAATTTACGTAACCGCGAAGTCGAATGGAAGATAAAAGGACAGACGACAGGGTTAATTTTTATCATTTGCATCACTTCCGCCACTTTCCAAAGATATATTGTATATTTATTTTGCCTGAATCAGTACTGAAACTTGTAGGAACCAATGTGTATAGCAATGAAGTCGCAGATCTGTATGATGTTGAACTAGAAATATGAGTTGATACATGGTTATGGTTTGACAGGCTCATCAGTCATCAATAATGTAAGAATAAAATATAAAAGAGCCCAAAGTCATATCCACACAATGTTCATAAAATGAACAACAATGGTAGATTTCGGGAGAAAAACAACTACTTATGGCTACTGGCCTATGCCACGCAGAATTACATCCTCCCGAAATCTATGCATCGACTCGTATGAACGAATACTGATACAAGTGATTCTCTCCTGAATATGCCTATTGATTTCGATTTAGCCAGGCCACGCTAGATACCTACAGACCGGTTTCGAGCTCTTTGACTCTCATCAGTGCAGGGCAGTCTCCAGGCAGCAGTTCGAAGACCGCCGACTAAGCGTAGCCTAGCCAAACAAAAATCAAGTCGGCATTATATTCTCCGAGGGGCGTCCTTCATAGACAATATGAAAGCAACGCCATCTGAGTAGAAACAAAGGAAAGAAACACTCCAAAACTGAAATTCCCATACGGGAGTGGCTGGTTGCCCGACTGACGAAATTTCACCTACGAAATAGCCACAATGCTCAAAGTGGAATGAATTGTTAAATAAATACAACAAGCTCAAAGTCATATCCACACAATGTTCATAAAATGAACAAAATGGTAGATTTCGGGAGAAAACACCCAGCGAGCACAAACATCCCTGGGATGTTTTGGGATGTTTTGAAAATGTTGGCATGAAGATGTTATTTTGAGACGTAATATGCACTGACCAAAGAGGTCTTTGACGGATATTGAAGTATTGTTTCTGTTCTTCTGTGGCATTTCTTTGTTTGCCTACTGAGAGGTATCCCTGGGATGTTTTGGGATGTTTTAGAAATGTAGGGTTGAGGATGTTTTTTTGAGGCGTAATATGCACTTCCCGAAGAGGTCTTAGAAGGATATTGAAAGTATTGCTTTTGTTCTTTTGTGCCCTTTCGTTGTTTGCCCCACCACAACTTCTCATGCTTACGTCACAATACGATGAATTCTGATTTGTTTTCCATTTTGTTTATCTTGTTCCCAATTGGCATTCGCGTTTGCAGCGTGTCACGCTTACATCACGCTGCTAACGAACAGAAAGGAATTTGGTGAAGTTTATTGTGTTAGAAGACTTATTTAGTTTGTAATAATGACCATCAGATGCAAGATGTTTTGTTCGGTGCCTCAGTGTAATCAATACATCAATACACAGCTTCTCCGCAGTTGCAAAATTATGCATTGTGGAAAACATTTCAAAAATTGGGAAATCTATATCCAATTATATGTCTGTGTGGAGTAAGCACTACTCAGAAACCGATTAAGAAGGTAATTTCATATCAAGAAAATATTTTTATGTTCAATCTATGTTTAATGCAATTTTTCATTCAAGGGAAATGGAATCCAAATGCAAAAGTTCATTTTGACAAAAGGCTTCAGAAAAGTACCTCAAAAATGGCTTTTTTACAGCGATTTAATGTGCGCAAGACGCGTTGAAAATATTCTGTTGTGTCCATGAAAAGGCTTTAAAAAGAACTAGGGAGAAGGTAGTTTTGTGACATATCAAGGACATCTCGATAATTGCCGCCTGCGGCGGACATTGGCTGTTTTATAATAGTTCTATTCATGTGTGAACAGAACATCGCAGTGGAGGTTCAATGTCTCGAAATCTCGTACTTTTAACATCTCTGAGATGTTTTTGTGCTCGCTGGGCAACGACTTTCATTACTAATGCCACGCAGAACATTGAATTACATCCTCCCGAAATCTAGATTTCGTGGCATTAGCCAGGAAAGTAGTTGTTTTTTTCCGGAAATCTAGCATTGTTGTTCATTTTCTGAACATTGTGTGGATATGACTGAGCTTTTTGTATTTATTTAACATTTCATTCCACTTTGAGCATTGTGGCTATTTCGTAGTTGTTATCAATGTATGATAAGATTAAAGACAAACCTCAAATACGATCGAGAAATGTTATGTTGTGATTTACCAATGTACCAACCTAATAGTACCGAATGAAATTGTATAGGAAAATTTACATATTTTATATTCATTTTGTTTTTTTTTCATTCATCTGATCGATGTTATAAAAACTGAAAATGAGGAAATATTATAATCAAAAATGTCGCTAAATTTCGAACAAAAAGTCGCTAAATCTTGAAAAATTTTGTCTGCAGCGGGATTTTCTGCTCGCTTCGCTCACTTTAGCTTACTTCTAACGTTTTTTCCCTAACTTTTTGCGACATTTCATGTCCAGCAGCTGTTGAAATCGCACACATTTTATGTAGGAATCATTCAACTACTGGATTGAAAAAAACCTGTCATGGATAGGCGGAGGCCTATTTTATTTAATAGTTATCCAAATATTTACATGGTATTATTATAATTATGAGCAGGAATAGGTAATAAGGTAGAGTATTTCGAGGCTGATGGAGACACGTGGAATACACTTCTTTCACTGACAGTTCTTACATCTCTATAATTTCTTGTAAGCGGGTCTCCTTTTTCATCAAATATAAATCGCAATGCATCGATCTGCAATCAAATAAATATTGTTTGTTCGATGTGTCAATCAATTTTAGGGGAAATGTGCCTGAGTTGGCATACCGGACGAGTTGGCATATTGGTACTTTCTCGGCTTCTAAAAACTTTGAGGCGCAATTAACCTTCTCCTTCTGTTTACCTATTGTATATCACAAGCCTGCAAATATATTTGTGGCAACCTCCGATCATAACCAAGAATGTTAATGACAATATTGGTTTTTTGAAGGTAATGAAATGTTTAATTTACTCTTATAACTTGAAACTTGCTGCAAAACATAGCTATCCAATAATTTTCAACAACCTCACCTCGAAATTCTGGGTGCGTAGCGCGATGGCCAATTCCCACAATGCCCAATTCCCACCATGCCCACCTTCATGTCGACGATTATTACGAAGAATGCCGAAGAGCGCAACGTTGCCATCAGGTTATGAGAAAAATTCAAAAAACACAAGATTCCCACCACGTTCACATTTCATAGATTTCCACGATGCCCAATTCCTACCATGCCATCGTAAGAATTGGTCATCGTGGGAATCTATGAAAAGATGGTGGATATCTTGTGTTTTCTGAATTGTTCTCTTGATCTGGCAACAGTGCGCTCTTCGGCAATCTTCGTAGTCGTCGACATGATGGTGGGCATCATAGGAATTGGGCATCGTGGGAATTGGGAATCGTAGAATTGGGCATCGCGGGATGCTCCCGAAATTCTACGGTATAACCGTTGCTTTGTTGTATTGTGATTGTGAGTAAATCGGTCTTATTTGAGTGTGGATAATTTGCTGACCAAAAAATATTCCTGCCGACAAGAACCTTGAGGTATATTTAAACACGTTAAACTATAAAACTGAGTCATGCATGATGGAGTGAACGTGCCACCATAGAGAAAACTCAAATCAACCCTCATTTAGGGGTAGTTTATACTTGTGATTTTTCGGAAAACTTTGCTGACCGAGGCTTTCCAATTCATATATTTCATTGAAAAGATGGAATATGAATGTTCGGAACATGTTTTCAGTGCCACCATATCGAAAATTCATAACACCCCCCTCATAAGGGTAGTTTATACTTGTGATTTTTCGGAAAACTTTGCTGACCGAGGCTTTCCAATTGATATATTTCATTGAAAAGATGGAATATGAATGTTCGGAACATGTTTTCAGTGCCAACATATCGAAAATTCATAACAACCCCCTCATAAGGGTAGTTTATACTTGTGATTTTTCGGAAAACTTTGCTGACCGAGGCTATCCAATTGATATATTTCATTGAAAAGCTGGAATATGAATGATCGTAACATTTTTTCAGTGCCACCATATCGAAAATTTATAACAACCCCCTGATAAGGGTAGTTTATACTTGTGATTTTTCGGAAAACTTTGCTGACCGAGGCTTTCCAATTGATATATTTCATTGAAAAGATGGAATATGAATGTTCGGAACATGTTTCCAGTGCCACCATATCGAAAATTCATAACAACCCCCTCATAAGGGTAGTTTATACTTGTGATTTTTCGGAAAACTTTGCTGACCGAGGCTTTCCAATTGATATATTTCATTGAAAAGATGGAATATGAATGTTTGGAACATGTTTTCAGTGCCACCATATCGAAAATTCATAACAACCCCCTCATAAGGGTAGTTTATACTTGTGATTTTTCGGAAAACTTTGCTGACCGAGGCTATCCAATTGATATATTTCATTGAAAAGCTGGAATATGAATGATCGTAACATTTTTTCAGTGCCACCATATCGAAAATTTATAACAACCCCCTGATAAGGGTAGTTTATCCTCGTAATTTTTCGAAATACTTTGCTGACCGAAACTTTCCAATTGTTATATTGCATTGAAATGCTGGAATATGAATGTACGGAACATGTTTTCAGTGCCACCATATGAAAAATTCATAAGAACCCCCTAATAAGGGTAGTTTATACTTGTGATTTTTCGAAAAACTTTGCTGACCGAGGCTATCCAATTGATATATTCCATTGAAAAGCTGGAATATTAATGACTGGATTATTTTTTCAATGCCACCATATCGAAAATTTATAACAACCCCCTAATAAGGGTAGTTTATACTTGTGATTTTTCGAAAAACTTTGCTGACCGAGGCTATCCAATTGATATATTTCATTGAAAAGCTGGAATATGAATGTTCGGAACATGTTTTCAGTGCCACCATATCGAAAATTTATAACAACCCCCTGATAAGGGTAGTTTATACTTGTAATTTTTCGAAATACTTTGCTGACCGAAGCTTTCCAATTGTTATATTTCATTGAAAAGCTGGAATATGAATGATTGGATTATTTTTCCAGTGCCACCATATCGAAAATTTATAACAACCCCCTAATAAGGGTAGTTTATACTTGTGATTTTTCGGAAAACTTTGCTGACCGAGGCTATCCAATTGATATATTTCATTGAAAAGCTGGAATATGAATGATCGTAACATTTTTTCAGTGCCACCATATCGAAAATTTATAACAACCCCCTAATAAGGGTAGTTTATACTTGTGATTTTTCGAAAAACTTTGCTGACCGAGGCTATCCAATTGATATATTTCATTGAAAAGCTGGAATATTAATGACTGAATTATTTTTCCAATGCTAATCATATTAAGCAATTGCTATTAGTCTTCCTCAAGTAGTTTTGTCTTCAAAGCAGATTTATTTATTCAAAATGGCTGTTTTAAATGACTTATGTTAAAAACATGAAGTATAAAAAACAGACAGACATTTATTTGTGTTGAAAAAAAAATTAAAACGTTTTGAGAAAATATACTTGTCATATGGAAAGACTACCAATAGAGATTATCATTCATGAAAAATGCTCAGTATCGCTCATGGGACCAATGACAATAATTGCCCCAATATGCTAAATTGTCAACCCTGTATAATAGGTGACTATTTCAACGACCGACTGACTGACATGTCATTTGACATGTTTCGTACATTCATATTCCAGCTTTTCAATGCAATATAACAATTGGAAAGCTTCGGTCAGCAAAGTATTTCGAAAAATTACAAGTATAAACTACCCTTATTAGGGGGTTGTTATAAATTTTCGATATGGTGGCACAGAAAACATGTACCGCACATTCATATTCCAGCTTTTCAATGAAATATATCAATTGGATAGCCTCGGTCAGCAAAGTTTTTCGAAAAATCACAAGTATAAACTACCCTTATTAGGGGGTTCTCATGAATTTCATATATGGTGGCACAGAAAACATGTTCCGCACATTCATATTCCAGCTTTTCAATGAAACATAACAATTGGAAAGCCTCGGTCAGCAAAGTTTTCCGAAAAATCACAGGTATAAACTACCCTTATTAGGGGGTTCTTATGAATTTTCGGTATGGTGGCACTGAAAACATGTTCCGAACATTCATATTCCATCTTTTCAATGAAATATATCAATTGGAAAGCCTCGGTCAGCAAAGTTTTCCGAAAAATCACAAGTATAAACTACCCTTATGAGGGGGTTGTTATGAATTTTCGATATGGTGGCACTGGAAACATGTTCCGAACATTCATATTCCATCTTTTCAATGAAATATATCAATTGGAAAGCCTCGGTCAGCAAAGTTTTCCGAAAAATCACAAGTATAAACTACCCTTATGAGGAGGTTGTTATGAATTTTCGGTATGGTGGCACTGAAAACATGTTCCGAACATTCATATTCCATCTTTTCAATGAAATATATCAATTGGAAAGCCTCGGTCAGCAAAGTTTTCCGAAAAATCACAAGTATAAACTACCCTTATTAGGGGGTTGTTATAAATTTGCGGTATGGTGGCACTGGAAAAATAATCCAATCATCCATATTCCAGCTTTTCAATGAAATATATCAATTGGATAGCCTCGGTCAGCAAAGTTTTTCGAAAAATCACAAGTATAAACTACCCTTATGAGGGGGTTGTTATGAATTTTCGATATGGTGGCACTGAAAACATGTTCCGAACATTCATATTCCATCTTTTCAATGAAATATATCAATTGGAAAGCCTCGGTCAGCAAAGTTTTCCGAAAAATCACAAGTATAAACTACCCTTATGAGGGGGTTGTTATGAATTTTCGATATGGTGGCACTGGAAACATGTTGCGAACATTCATATTCCATCTTTTCAATGAAATATATCAATTGGAAAGCCTCGGTCAGCAAAGTTTTCCGAAAAATCACAAGTATAAACTACCCTTATGAGGGGGTTGTTATGAATTTTCGGTATGGTGGCACTGAAAACATGTTCCGAACATTCATATTCCATCTTTTCAATGAAATATATCAATTGGAAAGCCTCGGTCAGCAAAGTTTTCCGAAAAATCACAAGTATAAACTACCCTTATTAGGGGGTTGTTATAAATTTTCGGTATGGTGGCACTGGAAAAATAATCCAATCATCCATATTCCAGCTTTTCAATGAAATATATCAATTGGATAGCCTCGGTCAGCAAAGTTTTTCGAAAAATCACAAGTATAAACTACCCTTATTAGGGGGTTGTTATGAATTTTCGATATGGTGGCACTGAAAACATGTTCCGAACATTCATATTCCATCTTTTCAATGAAATATAACAATGGGAAAGCCTCGGTCAGCAAAGTTTTCCGAAAAATCACAAGTATAAACTACCCTTATTAGGGGGTTGTTATAAATTTGCGGTATGGTGGCACTGGAAAAATAATCCAATCATCCATATTCCAGCTTTTCAATGAAATATATCAATTGGATAGCCTCGGTCAGCGAAGTTTTTCGAAAAATCACAAGTATAAACTACCCTTATTAGGGGGTTGTTATGAATTTTCGATATGGTGGCACTGAAAACATGTTCCGTACATTCATATTCCAGCTTTTCAATGCAATATAACAATTGGAAAGCTTCGGTCAGCAAAGTATTTCGAAAAATTACAAGTATAAACTACCCTTATTAGGGGGTTCTCATGAATTTCATATATGGTGGCACAGAAAACATGTTCCGCACATTCATATTCCAGCTTTTCAATGAAACATAACAATTGGAAAGCCTCGGTCAGCAAAGTTTTCCGAAAAATCACAGGTATAAACTACCCTTATGAGGGGGTTGTTATGAATTTTCGATATGGTGGCACTGAAAACATGTTCCGAACATTCATATTCCATCTTTTCAATGAAATATATCAATTGGAAAGCCTCGGTCAGCAAAGTTTTCCGAAAAATCACAAGTATAAACTACCCTTATGAGGGGGTTGTTATGAATTTTCGATATGGTGGCACTGGAAACATGTTGCGAACATTCATATTCCATCTTTTCAATGAAATATATCAATTGGAAAGCCTCGGTCAGCAAAGTTTTCCGAAAAATCACAAGTATAAACTACCCTTATGAGGGGGTTGTTATGAATTTTCGGTATGGTGGCACTGAAAACATGTTCCGAACATTCATATTCCATCTTTTCAATGAAATATATCAATTGGAAAGCCTCGGTCAGCAAAGTTTTCCGAAAAATCACAATTATAAACTACCCTTATTAGGGGGTTGTTATAAATTTTCGGTATGGTGGCACTGGAAAAATAATCCAATCATCCATATTCCAGCTTTTCAATGAAATATATCAATTGGATAGCCTCGGTCAGCAAAGTTTTTCAAAAAATCACAAGTATAAACTACCCTTATTAGGGGGTTGTTATGAATTTTCGATATGGTGGCACTGAAAACATGTTCCGAACATTCATATTCCATCTTTTCAATGAAATATAACAATGGGAAAGCCTCGGTCAGCAAAGTTTTCCGAAAAATCACAAGTATAAACTACCCTTATGAGAGGGTAGTTATGAATTTTGGATATGGTGGCACTGAAAACATGTTCCGAACATTCATATTCCATCTTTTCAATGGAATATATCAATTGGAAAGCCTCGGTCAGCAAAGTTTTCCGAAAAATCACAAGTATAAACTACCCCTAAATGGGGGTGGATTCGGATTTTGAATATGGTGGCACGAAGGCATTCCTCCATAGATATAAGATCTGTATTATGATCTCATTAATCGCACTACAAGTCTCAAATCAACGAATTATTCGATTGTGGTCAGCAAATTACTTTTTCCCGTCTTATTTTTAGAAATATGATTTCGGGCGAGTTGGCACACTATAATTTCAGGCTAGTTGGCATTATATATGCCATGGACGTGACTCGCCCTTACGTAACAAAATCAATAAATCAATTATTCGGTTTGTTGTTGCAGATTCAAGTGAACATGGTTGGAAAGAACCAACGAGCTTAGGTACCTACTACCTATTCTGTTCAAACAATCAATAATTGAACAATTCATCAATAATATCTGTGTTTTTCATATTTTTAAGTTCTGTTATAGTTTTAGGTATTAATAATTGTACGTAACTCTGCATAAGTTACGTATTACATTTCATTTATATTTGTTATGGAATACACTTTGACAATTAAATGCAATATTATATTCATCTACTTCAAGTATCTCTAGTTTGGGCAAGATGACATACCATGCCGTCTTACCTGGAACATTCAGGTAGAGATGGCATACCGAGGTGATTCTTCAAAAAAATATACTCAACCTAAAAACACAGTTAGGGTTCTCTTAATTTTTTCTATTGTCGAGCTAGGCATTTTTCATTTAACTAACAACTTTTAGACCGCAAATCTCAGAGATAACTACGAAACGTATGACATCTGGGCCCATTTCCCCTATTTGTACTCAAATTACCTGATCCGATGACACGCCGATTGGTATTCTTGTTATCAGCCAAAGTATGTAATGAACACACTTCTCAGTACTGACTGAACCCCAGTACATGAAGTAGTCACTGGTGAATATTCTAATGAAAGTTGTTAGTATCATTGGGTCAATTTTAGTGGAAGTTCCAGCTTTCGGAACATTCAACAGGGCATCAACTATAATTTGAAATGCTGGATTGGGAGCATCCTGCAACTGAATTATTTCAATCAATCAGCAATAGTAGGTCTACCTACATAAACAAAAAGACATTTCGTGTGTCCACTGGTTATCAGAGTGATATTAACCAGAATCCATTTCTATTCGCCAAATTCAAATGTATACTTTTTTTATTTTATTTTTTGTTATTTCTTGGAGCGCTCGAAAGGAAATTCCTATTTGCTGAAAAATGAAGAAATGATTAAATGCGAATAATAGTACATCATACATCTAGGGAATAATGTGGTATTTTAAATCTCTAGACAAAAAATGTATAGTCCTATAATTTTTCGAGGGATTTAAAAACGATTTAGTCCTGAGATGTATATACTATTTTATGAACTTAAGGATAGGTAAAACGTTGAAAATAACGAAGAAAAAATCAAATGCCACTAAACGGTAGGTATACTCTATTTCTAAGGGGTCATCGAAGGGTTTTATTGTTACCATATCAACTACCTCAGTAACAGTAACTATGCATGGTGATACAGATTTCGAGGAAAAAAAGTGGTACTTTAAATCCCAAGGGATTCAAAGTAACTTCAAATCCCTAGGAATTTGAAGTACCACTTTTTCCCCGCAAATAGGGAATAAAGGTACGCTATAAATCCCTGAAGTGCATAAAAAATAATGAGCTCATGAAAATGTAGTAAGGTATATAGGGACATAATGGCTGAAAATATTGAGATTAGGTCAGTTCTCAATAATTTTTTGAGAATTATTCTAGTTGACCCCTCATCCTCTTAAATCTTGGAATTAAATGATTCTTAACATATTTCACTATGCTCTGACGTGTGGTACTGATTCTGTAATTTATTAGCTAATTCAGCTCATTAACAATGAAAATTAATTAAAACTATCGAATCATGAATTAAGAAAGTTTCATTTTAACACAATAAATGTATTGTTTGAATTCCTAGTGAAAGAAAGTGAAATATGTTGTGATCTTCATACAGGACAATCGGGGCATGTATAACATTCTCAGCTGTACTGATGAATATCCAATAGAATCAACCATCAAGATATACAGGATGATTCCGAAATTGGAGTGAAAAATGAATAAGACACATGGCTCTGATCGGGGGTAGACGATCCAATGTTTCTACTATGTGGGGAAGAGGATAAAATCTCTTTTCACATCCTCTGCAATTGCCCTACAGTGGCTTGCTGGAGAAGATCATACTTAGGATGCATGTACCAGGAGTTGGAGCACATAAGAAACATTTCCATAAGCAAACTGCTTATATTCTGCAGGGCTATAGATCTGCATTTCATAACGAGACTCCCCGCTCCACCAGAAAGGCATACATTCAACATGGTCTGAATGGACTCTATAGCACTGGACCCTCAGGAGAAACCAAGGTGGATTCATGCAACATCAACTAAATTTTAATGAATTTGGGATTCAAACGAATTTAAAATTAAAAAAATATGGGTAATTCATGCAATAACCTTTCATCAGCTGTTTAATCTTTTTCCAGTGCGGCTAGTTATTATTTGGCGCATGCGCTGTCGTGAATTATGGAAGAAATTAATTTCTTAGTTGAATGTTGGCCATCTTTCTCAGTTTTAATTCTAGTTTTGTTTTTTTAGTTTCTTGCATGATCACCTACATCACATTTCATAGTTTTATATTATTGGTTTAAGTTTAAAATTAATTTAAGTTTTAAATTTTGCTTGCATGAATCCTGTAGATTGGAAAAGGATGACTACAACTGGAACGGAAATGAGACGTTCCAACAACTGTGCGACTCTCTTGCCGCCAACCATACAGAGCAGGACGATAGTTGAGGTGGACGAAACAAACAAAAGAAACACAATCGTGACTCCTTTAAGTATTCCAAATATATACTCAGGGCACCTACGGCTGCCCCCTTGACTCCATATCCATTAACCTATATAAAAATTCCACTGGACATATACCTAGTATATAAGTAGCCCACTAGGAATACTAGGATAGAGCATTTAGTTTTAATCTTCTCCTGAGGATGCTAACATAGTTAACCAAACACGTGTCGAGGTGTAAAAATTGGTTTGGTTGGTGGCAAAAGAGTGTGTAGTGTAGGTACTCACTTCATTTATCGCTTCAATTTCAGGTTTTTGACAACGGTCGATATCACTTCAGTCGGCTAAGAGTGTTATGATTATGACTTTGAACTCATAGATAATTATTCCGCCCAGTATTTCCATAAAAAAGTTACCAGAAATTTGATAGTATACCGGGTGACCCGGAACCAATTTACCCCCCTGTATCTTCGTTGTTATTTTGTATGCATGTTTCAAATTCGGTACTTCGATTTGATGTTATGAATGTACAATTCAGCAAATATCAATCCAAATATGTCACTTCCGGTTTGACCGGAAGCGCATCCAATTTTTATATTTAGAATAGGAAGTATTATTTTTTTTTGAAAATTACAATTCGGTATAGAATTACCTTCACAATGACATATCACAATCATACTTTCAATTTACAATCTGCTGGTATAATTGACATTTTATAAAAAAAATACTTTTTGTGTTCCCCTCGTAACGGAACATTTTCATGAAAGTATGCTGTGGAAGATTGAACAATATCATGTAAGCAACAATAATTCAATCTTCCACAGCATACTTTCATGAAAATGTTCCGTTACGAGGGGAACACAAAAAGTATTTTTTTTATAAAATGTCAATTATACCAGCAGATTGTGAATTGAAAGTATGATTGTGATATGTCATTGTAAAGGTAATTCTATACCGAATTGTAATTTTCAAAAAAAAAATACTTCCCATTTGAAATATAAAAACTGGATGCGCTTCCGGTAAAACCGGAAGTGTCATAATTGGATTGATACTTGCTAAATTGTACATTCATAACATCAAATCGAAGTACCGAATTTGAAACATCCATACAAAACAACAACGAAGATACAGGGGGGTAAATTGGTTCCGGGTCACCCGGTATAGACCGGTAGCCCACAACGTGTTTTTGTGTCTTATTTGTTCACACTCGGCAGTATAAGAACAAAGAACCCCCCCCCCCCCCAAGGCCTAAATTCCACCATTCAATAAACGGATATGAGGTTCGCTGAACGAACATCGTTGACCAAAGGGTAGGGGCCGCGTAGATGAAGATGTACCAAGAACCCAGCGGAATGTTTGAAAAATTGCACTTTTCTGAGCGGAATATGCATTCGATCGAATTCACTTGTCTTATTCTGCTAGATTACAGTAAAGCATTCGACACATTGGACCCGTCTGTTTTATGCAAAAAACTGAGATATTTCGGTTTTTTCTGGAGAAGCAGTTGCGCTCATTGAGAGCTATTTAACTGATCGGACTCAGAGTGTTAGCCTAGACGGTGACCAGTCTTCTTCCTTGAGTAGATTATACGGTGTACCGCAAGGTTCTGTGCTAGGACCACTCCTCTTCGCGCTTTATATATGTGATTTTCACGAATTTGTAAGACTAAGTGAAATACATCATTACGCGGATTATACCCAGTTGTATATGTCGTTCAATTTCAGTGGAGTGAAAGCAGCTGAGAGACATATAAACGATAATCTTCAACTGATATTTAATGTTTCAAGTGCTCACAACCTAAAATTAAATTCCAAGAAATCGCAGGTTATGCTGTTTGGTGCCAAAAACAAGAGAAATACCGTGCGTGACTCACTTTCTATATGCATCAACAATGACGTAATTCCATTTGTAAATGAAAGCAAAAACCTAGGTTGATGGATTGATACGGATCTGAGATTTACAAAACACGTCAATCATTTATGTAAAGTATCGTATAATGTACTACGGCAGTTATATCCTAGTAGACACTTAATGTCAAAAAAACTGAAACTGAGTCTATGCGAGTCCCTGATATTTTCAAGATTAGCCTACTGCGACTCTATTTATGGACCAGCTTTACAACAACAGAATGATTCACGGCTGCAAAAAATCCAAAATAGTTGTATTAGATTCTCATATGGGATACGAAAGTATGATCATATTAGTACCTCGTTTGAGGATTCTGGTTGGCTAAAAATGAAACAGATAAGAGAAATGCACCTCCTCACCTTCACGCATAAAATTTTGCATTCAAGAACTCCACCATATTTACGTAGGAAATTGGTTCCACTATCACAAAATGCAACTTCCCGAAATAAACATTACTTGCTGATTCCTAGACATTCTACCGCAATGTATACACGAAGTTTCTCTTATAACGCTGCTAAACTGTACAACAGTATGCCAATTGATTTCAAAGATTTTAGTTTACAAAATTTCAAAAAACGATTGAAAAGCTATGTTCAGAACAAGGCAATGATAATTCAATGACGTTTGCAGTGGTTTCCGGAATTCAAAATTTGATAAATATTTAAAAAATTAAATAAATACTCCAATGTTGGAATATTTAGTTTTATAGTATATGTACATGAATTATATTATTTTTCTTTGTTTGTCAATACTATATACAGAGTGGGCCTTTGAAAACGAAACAGAGGCTCTGTAGATCGCCAAAACCGGATTATGAAAAGAATCTGAAACACGTCAACTACGTTTTCGAGGGGGACATCGTCCTACAATATTTTCAGCCCTGCGGCGTTGCCGCTGCTAACGAAAAGAAGCAACAACTTTGTTATTTCAAATGGAACACCTTGTATTTCATTGCATTTTTAGATTCTCCCCGAAGAGCTGATTTCATCAATGCATCACACTTGAGGTCTAGCTGTAATGGTTTCAGGGATATAAAGTGTTCAAAATCGAGATTTTTCAACTTTGACATTTTTTTGTGTCGAAACTATTCATTATTGGTCGAAACGGCTCTCATGTCCCTATCTCAACTTGTGATTTACTATCTACTGACATTTAATTGGAACAGATACAGGGTGATCAGAATTCTGAATCTTGAACCACCCTGTATTTGTTTCAAATAAATGTCAGTAGATAGTAAATCACAAGTTGAGATCGGGACATGAGAGCCGTTTTGACCAATTATGAATAGTTTCGACACAAAAAAATGTTAAAGTTGAAAAATCTCGATTTTGAACACTTTATATCCCTGAAATCATTACAGCTAGACCCTAAGTGTGATGCATTGGTGAAATCAGCTCTTCGGGGAGAATCTAAAAATGCAATAAAATACAAGGTGCTCCATTTGAAATAACAAAGTTGTTGCTTCTTTTCTTTAGAAGCGGCAACGCTGCAGGGCTGAAAATATTTTAGGAAGATGTCCCCCTCGAAAATGTAGTTGACCTGTTTCAGTTTTTTTTTGATAATCCGGTTTTGGTGACCTACAGAGCCTCTGTTTCGTTTTCAAAGGCCCACTCTGTATATAATATATGTATTTGAAGGTTAGGTTTAAAAACAGCTTCATCAGCTGAACCTCGCCCATTCGTCATTCATGTATTATTCTATGTTTCATAACATGTTTTTTTTACAGAATGATGAATAAAGCCTATTATTATTATCATTATTATCATCTCGCGATTTGATGACGAGATGAGAATTATGCCATCCGATACCAATAGAAAGATAGATCTCAAAAACCTACCTGTGCCACCCCTCAGTCGGAGCCAAAGCCACGGCACAGCGATTTATTTGCTCCTATTATTCCGGACATACTTCCCTTATGCGATAACGAGTTGAAACAAATAGCAAATGAAAGGGAAAAATGTCCCTTTCGCGAATATCCAAACGTGCCGCGATTCAAAATGATCTAAGATAGTGGCAGAGCGTCAATAATTCCGTGAATATTTCACCCTCGTCGAAAGATATCGACCTTCGCCGACCTTTCTACGGTGTTCCAATGATGTCTAAGAGTTAGTGAGTGTGACATCACCCATTCTCTACATCCTTAAGACAAGAGTACGCTAAGATAAGGTTCTTATACTGCTGAGTGTGAACAAACGAGACACAATAAGAAACACGTTCTGGGCTCTCAGTCTAATATTAACGTTTTTTATTTCGACGATTTGACTTCATGTAGATAATTCTCATCTCTGAATAAGCAAATGAATGATTTGAAACTACATTTTTTGTTATCTACCTTGAAAAGATATACTAGTGTTGCACATCCATCTTGCTCTTTTAAAGCTGCCTCTTGTGTCAAATAGCTGCTCTTGAATGTTACAACGTGCATTTCTGCCGGATATTTCACGCCGTCAATCGAGTGTTCGCTTCCTACCATATCGTTGGATCCCCAATGCAAATGCCAGTTGGAAAATACATATTTTCCTATAAAAGGCCCCTTCGCAATGTATGGTCTCTCTTGACCCCATTTTGCACTAAAAATTACTACTAGCATTGATTAATTTATTTTCAAAATATTTACAAAGCATTCAGCAAAATTCATCGAGCATGAAATTGAGGGTTAACATTTTTCAATTCTACCAGAATGCATTACTGGAACACGTGAGGTCTTTCATGACATAAACTTCATCTTTCGTTTGATTTGGCATCTACTTCAGGGTATATTCCTCTCTGTTGATGCGAAAGTTGCGCATTAAGTATCAGATTTGAATTAGAATACTCAAGACTGTCCCCATTGAACCATATTTGGTAATTGTTTGCAGGGAAGACACAATTTTTCATAAAAACCAAACTGTACCCTTCACACATTGCTTCAGACCTGCACAGTATGCTGCAGAAATATCCCAGATCATCATGCTAGAAATGGACACATAGGGACCTGAAATATCATCACCTACGAGAATCTGGTCCACCCTAGAGCTATTCTATTGCTATTGCCATGAAACAAGAAGCCTACCATCGTTGGCACAGAATCCCTAACCTCGTGACTAGAACCGAATATATTGAAGCCAGGAATAACTGCCCAACGATAGATCAGAAGAAGCATACAATGCCAAAATAGGATCAATAGTCATAGACTGTCATAATAGCTACTGATAGTCGTTCTGATTCCACGCTAAAGCAGTTGGAAGGACCTCCACTGCCTCCACTTGTAGTTCATTCATGGTACTTTCCAAAGTCTACTGCAGATTAGCAACAACATCACAAAAGGAGGCGACCGTTTTTGCCGAAATGTTCCTAGCAAACTGCACCTTAGATTCTCAAGGAAAAGTGCCGCCAGATATATTCCTCCCTGCGGAAGACGAATGACCGAACTAAACTTTTGCCAAGGCACTAACAGATACATTCTGCTTGTTCTTGAAACGAATAAGAATGATGGAATTTCACCCATTGTTATGTTCTTTACCATCTCCTAAAAGTCAGGTATTTGTTCATCCTGCTGGAGAATACGGTCCAACCCCCATTACCAAAAAAAGGAAAGAAAAACCTTCCCAGCAACCATATGCCTATCGCGCTGTTCTAAATAGGGCTCAAAAAAGAATTTGATAGAGACATTTTTTATTTGTTTTTCTCTGTAGAACAAGAATCAGTTGTGAAAAAATAGGGTTCCAATTGAAAAAAAAAAACATGTCATCTCCCAGGGCCGTATGGGGGCCCTGGGGGGGGGAATGTGAGTAGGTTCATTCTTTGGCCCCCATTGAATCCTTCAACTTTTGTTTAAACTATTTTGTTGTTAGCGGCTTCCGGAAAGAACTATTATTCATAATAGATCAAAATGGTCCACCCTGTATATATACTATCGCCTATCGCATGGCACCAATAAAATAAATATAGGGATCAAAATGAAATTCATGGTGATACTCCTTTTCCACCCAAAGTTCTACATTGTAGCAATTCTGACGTCACCTCTGTGCAAATTTCCGTGCGGAAGGCACAATCACGCGAAGTTCAATCATTTAAATTATTTTAAAGTAGCGTACTTGATTTTCTTCTCAGTTTTTGTTCAATTTTTGGGTTAAGATTTGTCGTTAATTGAAGAATTAGAAGAAATCTGATATCATGGGAATACTCGTTAGACTGTGTAGAACACCTCGTATAGAAATTAAGTGCTACCTTACTAGATATTTCAGAGAAAATCAGTAATAGGAAATATTCTTGTGAAATTTTCACAATCAAGCCGTTTCTGATTGAGTTGCAATTCAATTATTTTGCGCACGACCAATCGGACTATTTATCCCTATATACAGCGTGTCTCACTTTAAACGGCCCCCCCCTCTATATCTCAGTTATTAGTCATGCGATTCCAACCAAATTTGGTGTGGTATGAATAACCATCAATATGATCAGTTTTACAGAGATGCACATTATTTTGGACAGTGCTGTGCGTTTTTATTGAACTAAAAAGGGGTCGATTTTTCATGAAATCATATTAGGCGTTTTTTACAGGAAATCCAACCTCATATTATTGCTTTCGAACCTCCATATGCAAAAATCACCTGATTCCGAATTAAGAGGTTTGGCTTAATTTTTTTCATTTTCAGTCTCGACTAAATAGTGACTTCAAATCAACTACGAATTTTGGAACGTTCAATGGCTCCGGTAGGTGGAAAATCATGATTTGGAAGGAAAAACGAGTAATACTTTTTTATGTTGAACTCACCGTTTCCGAGTAAATAATTATTACTTTCGCAAAAATGCTGTTTAGATGTGCCTGTTTTTCTGAAACTCTCCATAGGCATCTTATCAAAATCCACATATGTAGGTTTGAAACCATAAAGAACAATATTATGAGGTCAGTTTTCCTGTGAAAAAATGCATAATATGATTTAATAAAAAACTGCCCCCTATTCATTTCTATAAAAATGCTCGGCACTGTCTAAAATGATGTTTGTCTTTGAAGAACTGGTCATATTGATGATAATTCATACCGATACAAATTTGGTAAAGATCGCACTACTGATAGCTGAGATATAGAGGGGGGGGGCCGTTTGAAATGAGACACGCTGTATATGACTCTGTGCCTGAAATTTCCCTATCAAAAACCTAAGAGAAAAATGCAATCGAGAGTCATTGACACCTTATTGTTTGAAACATGTTTGAGGAAGAATATATTATGAGTGTATTGAAAACATATAGAATTTCCATTACTATATAGTAATAAGAACTGCTCTCCGGGATTTGCCCATATTATATTATATGTATATTATAAGTTAATCTACAATCTACTCACTTGTTTGTCCAGTATTCGTTATTTTATTCTTTTTTGGCGGTGCTCCAAAATTACTCCATTCCAATGGAGGTAAATCAATTTCTTTCGATTTCGTGATACTTATATCAATCGGTGATTCAAAGCAACCTTCTGTTCGAGTCAGTTGTCTCAACCACACTTGTTTTTCATATTCGGTACCTACTGCATCAACCAATTCAATTTTGGAACTTTTTCCATGACGGGATTCTAAAAAATTGAACTTTCTCAGTTTGGACATACATACTTAGCTCACTCTCTTTCCAGTAAGCCGATTATTCACCTATATCATCACTATTATTAATTTGAGCCATGATGAATATCTGAAAATGGAAATGAGAAATATGTGATAATGATTTTTTTAATGACACTAATAATATTTTGATGTACCTACCGTTGACATTCTGACATGTCAATATAGTTCACTGAAATTGGGAATTTGAAAGGGAATAATAATTCATTCGAAATGTTTTAGTGCGTTTTCGGGTATACAGGGTGTCCCAGAATAACGTACGATTCTGCACATAGAGATAAGAAAAAATGTCCCTATCAACATGGGTCCGAAAATGCTTCCTATGGGCACTATACAGGGTGGCCCACGGTCGATGGTACCTTAGACGTATACGGAAAACGGTACATTGGATTATCCTGAAAATTTGGTTATTCTAATAAGCGTTTGTGATCTAACGATTCAAAATATTTTCAGCGATGCAGCGTTGCCACTCTTACCAAAAAGTAGCATCATCTTTGTTATTTCAAATGAAACACCCTGTATTTCATTGCGTTTTTAGATTCTTCTCGAAGAGCAGATTTCATCAATGTATCACACTTGGGGTCTAGCAGGAATTATTACTAGAATCATGAAATTTCCCAGTAAACACAACACGTTTCAGAAACATTTCGAAAGTTCCCTAACACGGTGTCATCTGAAACATTCCAATGTTAACATAATGGAGACATTTCTGAAGCTCTCCATGCTATGTGAAATGTTTCAGAAATATTTCAGAAATGTCTCACTTGAATCTCTAGACATGTCATCTGAAACACTAAAATGTTGACATAGAGGAAACATTCCTGAAGTTCTCCATGTTATGGGAAATATTTCAGAAATATGTCAATACATACGTTTCCTATACATTACAAGAATTCTCTGCTTGAAATGTGTCACGTGAACCTGTAGACGTGTCATCCAACGAACAGCGAGGCTCTGAAACACATTGCCAAGGGAGGTGTTTCCCGAGGCATATAACCCCCAGAAATTCAAGAAGAACACCAATTCCTACTTCAATTCCCTTGGTTCTCACGATGTTCTCTGAACATTACAAGATATCCTTTTTCGTGGAAACCAGAACATAAAAAAATACAGGTGTTTAGTAGTTGTTTGGAATTCATCATGTTCGAAACGTTTCCATTGTACTCTAATACGGGTCAACGATAATATCTCTACATTGACCCCTAGGCAACATTTCAGAAATGATATAAAATTATCGAGTGTGAAACTTTAACCACATATTTTGAAACTTCGTATGCTGACGTTGCCAGGTTCATGATTCCGTTTTATTGGCTATAATGAATCACATGCTCGAGTGTGACCAATAAAGACGGGTGGTTATACTCTGGCAATTTGAGGGTTGCTGGGCTGTGTGCACGTGAATATACCAAAGAAGGGAAGATTTGTATTTCGTGTAAAATATTCCCAAAAGGAGGTAAAATATGGAATATGAATTTAAGCCAGCCAATGACTTCAACACGACATGTCGCAGCGACAATGGCTGCTCACATTTTAATTTGTTTATAATGTATTTTAACTCAATGTCGTTAGTTTTAAACTGGACGAAAGATATATTTTTATGGACGAATTTTCCTGTTATATAACCTGACGAGTACGCACTGATGATGACTTAACAGTCGAAAGCGATCTGCACGAATATTGAATAAATTATTTTGCAGAAATACAAATCTTCCCTTCTTTGGTATATCGGCATGTGACAGTCCGAACCAAGCCGACTTGCTCCGACTGTCCGGTCCGAGAAGAGAGTGGGTGCATGAACACGAAGACGAAGCCATTCTGCCATTCTTTCTTTTGTTGTTCTGTTCCTTTTTTGTGAAGAGTGAAGGTGAAGAGGTGAATCCATTTTTAGCATCCCTTATTGGTATTGCCTGGTATTGCTGATGTTAAAACTTCATATTGACAACTATGAATATGAAAAAGGTTTACCTGTACATTCACTAAATATTCGATGCTTGATCGAATGAAAATTAGCCAAAATTTAATACATAGAATATAAGGTATAGGGCGGTATATATAGTGGCAAAAATAACCTGAACTTTTTTGTACATTGTTTTGTCGCTCTTAACATTTTTTCAGGTGCTGTCAGAAAAAAGTTTCCTGTTACGGATATGGAATTTGAAGAATATGTAGCTTGGTTTCGCCAATCAGGTCTCAGGTTAGCCAGAGAAAAGGAGAATATTGAATGAAATGGTTTTTTATTATAATTTAATAAGTTTTTCCATAGCATAAAATCCTTTGATCTAAGATAAAATCCATTGAAACTGAATTTTAATTTTATTCACCCTTCTTTTTTTCCATATACCTATTAATACAAATTGACTACATCACACACGATGTTAATTAGGGTTCACTTTCATTATGATCGAGTAAGTGATCTCAATTATTAACTGCTGTGATAATGTAGTCTTGGTATGAACTGAAAATGGTTTCATATTTGAAATTTTCCAGCATCAGCAGGAGTGAGATGGATCGGAAATGTTTCAAAAAAGTCATGTTGGAAATGTTGCAAATAGTGCAATAAGGAAATATTCCAAAGACATTATTTGTGAAACGTTTCATGAAATGCAATAATGAAATATCTCAAAGATGTTTATGTATACTGTTATTTATTAAATGTTTCATGGACATTTGGGTTGAAACATTCCAATGAAACATATTACACACCCTATATAGGTCAGGGGCGGATCCAGGGGGGGGGGGCATGGGGCCATGCCCCCCCCCCTCGGAAACCTCATGGATATGTAAAAATGTAGGTATTTTGAATAAATGAAAAAAATAGTGTATATGTCTTCATAGCTAGAAACTTCGCAACAGCTCTGAGAAATTGCGAATTTGTATAATATATCACTCTGCTGTTTGGCAAATATATTTTCGATAACACTGCCACTCAGTAATTTGCTCCAAACAAAAAACTTAGACAAAAAACAAGCTAACGATGTTGTTATAGTATCACTCTTCTGACGCTTCAAAATAAAAGGGATGATATTCTAAATACTATCTAAGTATTTCGAAAGAAGCCAAACAGAAATTAAAAGAACTGAATGTTGTATTTTCGATGCCGAGAATAACAGGGAGACTGGTTCATAGACCGAATCCTACGGTTTCCTCAGTGGATGACCATTACATAATAACTGTTTTCATCCCAGTATTATCCTTGATCTGAATGATAGGCTATCAGAAAATAAATTGAATCTATGCAACCTTCACCTTAGTGTGCCATCAATAACTAAAAACAAAACAGATGAGGAAATATATGAGGTATGAGAAATATACTTGAACAGTTTCCGACCATTGATGAATAATGAAATGTCCTTTCAGAAGATCGTTTCTGAAATGTATATATGGAAGAAAATGAGGAATACTAAGCAAAATATACGAAACAATGGTATAACTGCCCTGAAGGAATGTAACAAACATTTGTTTCCTAACATAAACATTCGTCTGGAACCATTCTATTGCCTGCCTGTAAGTGTTGCATCTTCTGAGAGAAGTGTTTCAACACGAGAAGGCTGAAAGATTGGATGAGATCCAGAATGGTCCAAGACAGGTTAAATGTATTGGCATTGATGCATATTCATAGGGGGATCTGCAGCAGTCTGAACTCGAGTCTGAATGTTGATGATTTCATCCAAAGATACGCTAGGCAGAAGAATAGAAGACTGGAATTTGTTTTGTTTATTTTATATATTTTTATTTTTGTCTGTTGAATTTGTTTTGTTTTTCAAAAGAAATCTTTTTTTTCACTTTTGAACCCAAATTCTTCAATAGAAATATTTTTTTATTAACTTTTTTCATCCAATATGATTTATTACAAAATTTTTCATATATTGATGGAATAAAAGTTTGAACTTGTTTCTTTACACCAGTAATTTCGATACTTGAAAGGAAACTGCAGATTTCATGTTTACTATAATCAATTTTTTTAATGAGAAAGCATTTTCGTCTCAGAAGGTCACCATATAATTTCTCTTCTGCGCTAACCTTACTGAGCCGTGACTTTCTATGCCCCCCCCCTCAAACATCGTCTGGATCCGCCCCTGATATAGGTCTCTAGAATGTCTCATAAATGTTTCGGAGTATATGGGTGGAATGTTTCATATTTCACAGAGTTTGTTTCAGGAACGTTTCAGAAACACAAAATGGTTTACTGGGTTATTGGTACCTATATGAAGGTGATTCGAACTTACAAATCGTTTCGTGGTTCAGAAAAATTGATGTAATATACAAAAAGAGGTGCGAAACTCGTAACCGATGCTATAAAAATGCCCCAAGTTTTTTTGTTTCAAGATATGTGTATCTTATTTCTGCTAACAGACGATGATTCTTCAAACACGTGTAGGGTTGAATATATTATTATGAGATCTTTTTTTTTCGATAGGGGTTGCGGGGATTTTTCGATAGGTAAATCGTGCCTTAGGTATGTTTCAATGATTTCTACCTTATCTAATCGCAGCAGTTTTTCATTCACACCCTTAAAATATTTTTTTCTGCAATCGGCTCAAAAGTCGTCCATTTTTGTTCCAAAATATATTTGGTAAGTATTTGAAGTTGACGTTTCTCTTACTGACACGATAAAATGATTAGAATGTAGGTATGTTGCTAGGCAAAACTTTTAGTGTCTACCCACCAAGCAAATTTGGAAGCAATATGTCGATGCAAGGTTGTACCAATTATTACTGAAACGGACGTTCAGCAATATTGCAAATGTAAATTTGTAAATGTAACGTTTCAGCAATGTCATATCAACATGTATAATATTGCTGCAACGCTACATTATCAACCTTCACCTTTGCAATATTGCTGAACGTCCGTTTCAGTAATATTGCTTCAACATTGCATCAACATCATATAGGTATAGCTTTCAATTTTGCTTAGTGGGTAGAAGCTAAAATTGAAGTTTAACTGCTAGGAACCAAAACCGTGTCGGATGACAGCTGCTTTGACACTGACATGCGCTCAAGTGACTCAAAATAGTATCATTTTCACTTATATTTTATTAATTAGATATCAATTATTATTTCGATTGCAGAAAATATATAGCATATACAATTTGTTTCATACGAATCAATAGTGACTCTGTTTGACTAGCAAAATTTGCGTGCTCGGCTTCGCGGTCGCAAATATTGGTTGTCAAACAAAGTGTCACATTTGATCCTAATAAAACAATGTACTTCAGGTGTAAGGTTGAATATGAATTTTATTCTGATAGTGGTTGCGGGGATTGTCAATTAGTTTTTGGGTATGTTTAAATGATTTGTACTCCTAGCTTATCGTATCGCAGTAGATAAAAAAGATAACATGTTGTCCGCCACTGGATCTTCGAGTATGTTCGGAGATTTTGGCTGCCATGTTCACACAGCTTGCGCAGTCTCTTAGATCATACATGATCTAAGGTGCAACATGCAACTACAGCTACAGGCAAAACCAACGTTGCCAGACCGAGTACTTTCGTACTAGATCTAGTACCTTTTCACTGTCTCGACATTACCGAAATTGCCTTCAAAGAAAAGTTCAATGTGCAATATCATCAGCGAAATGTCATTATTATCTTACATCCATATATTGTCATTTTTTGTCGATTGTTTTCAACTTGCTCAAGGTTATGATTATGAATAGAAATGAATGACAGAATGACGATTGACTGTTTTGAAGTGTTTTGACAAATTAGAAATGAGATATCCACATTCAGTAGTTCGTTATTGACATCAGACTGCTCCAATCAATCTGTTTCGTTCGTTTATGACATCTAGATGTAGGGGAAGTAAATCTCATGCGTTCGGCAATTAAAATCAGGGCGATCCGACGACGATTTTCATGCTCCGAGAATCTTGACCGAGCAAAGCGATTAATCTGAATTTGTGAGGTTAAGTGTTAAATTGTTCAAATTTTGAGTGCGTTGTATTATTTTATAATTCACTTTTTGTGAATTTCTTGAGAAAATCAATGTTATATAACAAATCCACATAAATCCGTTAAGTAATATGTGTCTTAACAAGAATTAAAATACTTTAGACAGATCTGTCATGACAGCGCTCTGCACCGTTCGTTTATTCCAATTAATTATTCTAATTTGTGGTCACATGACATTTATGACAAATAAATCCCTCGCATCTAGGATGGAATTGCCGAATAATTTTTTTTTCTTCTCTATCCTCTCAATAGTAGGAAGCTTTAGATCATAAATCCAAAGTAGTACTTTTGTCGAAAAACAAGTAGTTTTTTCGGTGATTTTTTAGTACATTTTGAGTTGCTTGACTGGCAACGCTGGTAGTAACCCTAACCTATATTTCAAGTCAAATCCCATGTCCTTCAAAAATCTGTTATTCTGTTATTCTATCTGCAATATCTGCAATGTTTTTATCAATGTATATATGTGTTATAATCAATAATAATCAAAATATAAAGGAAAACGAACTAACGAACTTATAAACAATAGAAAGGAGAAAAGTCAGAAAAGGTGTTTACATCAGAAGCAAGGTGAATATTATCAGGAGGTTTTATCAGACGATAATAGAGATATTGAAGAGATATATATTATATTACTATAGTGTTTCCCTGCAGACTGCGTAGTTTAGGAGGCTTACTTTAGGTGAGTAATAAGTGAAAGTAAATAGCCAAACTATCCGAATTATTTTATAGATTCATAAATTACAACCCTGAGGTTGTAAAATCTCAGGAATTTATTGCAACTTATCAGAAGTATCTCTTCTATTCAATTCATTACTCCATATAAATTGCTTGAGTATAATCTCTGCTTGAGTGGATAATGATATAAACAACAAAATTTTTTCAATGTATGTATGTATAAATACAATGAATAGCATACTTATTCTACACCCTTTGATGGAATATACTTTCTTCTCAGTTCAATTTCTTCATGCATGCCCTTAATATTATTATGTTTGCAAACTTTTTTCAGTGATTGTTGTTGAAGTATTGAAAAGTAACCTCATTCTTATTTTTAATCTAATGAAATCAAGGAAATGGTACTTTACAGGAATGGATTGTGATGTGATTTTTGAACCTTCATTGTCTACTTATTTTCATTATTATAGTATTGATAATTCTCAGTGCACTTTGATCAAGGTGCTATAACAACTGCTTAAATATGGTGTAGGTATGCTGAAGTTTGTGTTTTTGGAAATTCATTCAAATTCAATCAAGTTATACAGAATGATTCCTGTATGAGAATATTATGTCATTGGTATTTCTTCAATGACAACCTGATTTTAAGGGAGCACTGAATTTAACAGAGGCACCTCAGGACACACTGTTTACAAACCCTATGTGTAATTTATTTTTGAATTCAGCTTACCATGGAGATTCCAAACATTGAATATTATATGGGATGTTCCATTTAAAAAAATTGTCGCCAACATGTAAATATCCCTGTATATTAAATTTTCTCTCATGAATGTGGCAAATTGAAGATAAAACTCAAATATTGATTTATCAACTACTTAATAGGAGAGCACTTAATTTAATGGACCCACTGTATACAAACCCTATGTGTAATATATATAGGGTCTCTCATTTGAAAAGATTGTCAAGGACGTCATAACTCAAACGTGGATCACCCTGTATATTTAGTTTTCCCTTATAAATGTGGCAAAGTGGAATTGAAAATCGAACTACACCATACTGTGTGTGTGTTTAAAAAAAGTGTTTTTAACCGCCAGCTTAGTTGCAAAGCAACCCTCGAAAGTCAGAGACTTGTGTGAGTTAAGAAGACGGGGACCTTAGCTTTTTAAGTGTCATCCGAAGCACTACTCGGCTGGTAACCGTGGACAGTCCAAAGGATTGATATCTAGGTACCAAGAATGTTGGGTTGGCCACCTATCTCCTCCCGCCCAACGAAACTACCGAAAATTAATTCAGTGCTCGCGCCGGGGATCGAACCCGGACCGCCTGGGCAACAGCCAGCGACTCTACGCTCACGGCCACCAGCCCAGTTTTACCAATAACCAAACCGATTCTTTATAGGCTATGTTTTGCTTACTATGTTAGTTATACAGTTACAACTATACAATTTTAATCTTTTCCTGAAGTTGCTAACATAGTTAGTGGAACACATGTGGAGGTGGAGACGTTTAAAAAAACTGTTTGGTTAGTTGTAAAACAGTATTATCATGCCAAAGGGTTCAGTCTTTGATATAAAAGTCAACCTGTTCAAGGAGTTTCTTCACGAATAGATAGTTTAGCTATGGGTTTAGCTAAAATAGTTATTTTTGTATCTAGAGCACGAAATGCTACTTTGGTGATGACCAAAGTATTTCGCGCTCTAGTTGCAAACAACATTTTTTCTACGAACGTCAAAAAAGATAGTTCTAAAGAAAAAATATGCTTAGCTTGATATAAAAAATGCTGTTGAACTGGCTTAAAAGGCCTTCCCCTATTCTCCCTAGGTACGCATGATGTTCCACGAACATAATATTAATTTCTTTTCGTGCGCTCCAAGAGATAAAACAAAGTTATTGTTGAACATTCAGAAATAAATGATTTCGTGGATGTTTGCTCGATTGAGGACCATAGAGTTGAAATAGAAATACCTCATATATTTTGCATAACAATGCGCAAAGTAGGTACTTCGCGCAGTCTGTTTTACTTCGCGCATTGTTTTGTGCTAGGTATCACGGTAACGTAGGAAACTGAAGAAAAGTGTCACTTTGCAATTTGTTATTGATCCGCGAACCTAGTCATTTTTGACGTTTGTAGAAAATAGTTATTTTTGTATCTAGTGCGTGAAATGCTACTAAAATAGTGTTGGACTGGATTAAAAGGCCTTAATTATTGCTACACATTCAGAAATGAATGGTTTCTTGAATTTTTGCTCAATTGATGACCATAAAGTTTAAATACAAAAATCTCCTATAGTTTACATACAATGCGCCGAGCAATGCGCGAAGTATGTATGTCGCGAACCTTTTTTGACGTTTGTAGAAATACTTTTTTTTTCTACTTCAGTATTGAAATATGCAAATTAAATATCTGCTACCGATTTCTTGATATTGATCATTTTAATCACCAGGGATTTTCATCAAGATACAGATTTTGAATCAAGTGAGTATATTATGTTTTTATACTACTTACTTGAGTTGTTTACCTTTTTTGACGTTTGTAGAAAAAAACATTTTTTTGTTTGGTGAATAATCCTGAGTATATGCAAGTGAAGTATAGTAAAAAGTTGGAATATTTGGTTAGCCGCATTGAGAATTTTTAAAGCATTTTATAGTCATATAGTTTTCTCCAAAATCTGCAAGTTTTATCTTCAAGACCTGTTGCAGAAATTCTAGGACACCCGGTAACTTTTGTGCTCGCGAGAAGTTGAACCTATGAAGAATCTGTGGGGTAAAAAATTGGAGATTGGCGAATCTTTCTTCTTCGAACAGTTTACTTTTTAACATTCGTTTCAAAATTATATTTGATTTGATGCTACAATAATTCTTTTGATTCAAAACATGACATGTTCAATATTTTTGGAAAATAGTATTGCTGATATCAAAGTACTTCTGACTGCCTCCTCGTCTCTATAAATGGAAATATTAGTATTATTTCAATGTAACAAATTTTGCTGATAAGAAAATCGAAGAGAAATTCAATTGTTTAGTTCAATGACACCTTGTGAAAAAAATTTTTGAAGAAGAATTAACGTATAAGACCGGAGCAAATCTATAGTTTTCAACCGTTTCCTTTTTTCTTTTTTTTTTCTTTTTGCGAAATATAATTCCTAATTTCAGGGCATTTTTTTAATGTTAAAAATAGCGAAATATGATTAGCAAATTTAAAAAAAAATCGACCCTATCACTGGATTCAGCATCCTTCAATCAATGAACTCAATACAACTGGAAGGGACCCACTGTGAACGACGAGTGAGGCAAAAATATTTTTCAGGCAACCCGCAGTGTTTACGGATACCTATCTCTCTCTATCTTGTGTTGGTTAATGGGAAGCGCTCGCATAATTTGAAATATTTTCTCGTTTTTTGCTTCTATTTAAAAGTAAACGTGATTAAATAAAAATATTCATTTAGGAAAAAGGATAATGTTGTAATCAATTATCATTAAAAAATTATTACTGATTTTTTTATTGACTTTGAAATGAAATTTCAATCTCACTCTCACAAGATCAGGAAGTCAAATGAATACAAAATTGAAATTATATATTTTTATTCAAATGTCACAATATATTGTACAGGGTGAGCGAATCACAATGTCTCAGAACTATCAGAAGGAAAAGAAAAACGATAGGAAAAATTTGAAAAGAGGTTCTTGAATGGTATTGAGTGCATTTTGAGCATAATTTCCATAGGTTCCTATTCCTTCTTCCTACTTCTGTCATATTTGAAATTTTTAGGTCTCTCCTTATTACGTTTTGTCTCAGTGTCTTCACTTTCCTCCTCAATACAATATATTTTATTGATAAACCTCGAAACTTGGGAGCTGGAAGTGTTAGGCAAGTCAAAGTCAATAAAATGGGAAACTTCTTCCTTTGGACCTAAGTTATGAGCGTCCATAGATGCATCCTGAAAACAAATTACTAGCTAGTTTTTTTATTATTTTAATGAGGTGAAAACATACTTTTTTTTTCATTATTAATCAACTAGGTACCTATGAGTTTTCTGATTTTCCTGGGGGAATCAGCATTTTTTGGTAACAAATGCTGAGGAAATAAAAAATATACTGGGTACAGCATCTGCTTTCAAAAACCTAGCAGTACCTGGTATGCCTAAATAATCTGTTGGCAGAAAATGCTCCCCACAAAGCTTGCTGCTTCTATTTGGAGTCCAATTCTCTCTACGAACTACCTTTATCCATAATTCGAGAATGTCTGGTCTTTTGAATGGAAAGCTGCAACAAATAATATTACTCAATATCAATATGGAAGTATTTAACTTTGACAAATAATATAGGTATAGTTTTTGAACATATTCTGAGACTGGGAACATTGTATACCTAACTGGATGATCATTTCAAGAACTATATTTTTCAAAAATCTGAGAACAATATTCAACTTACCCATGGAATGCTAATTCCCTTTTGTTTTGTTCGTTCTTGCATCCAAAGGCGACACAATAAATCACCATTGTTTATCAATATTAATCACAAACCTTCTCAACAATCAGTTCACAGTGTTCACAACAACAAATTCAGTCCTTTTGATACAACAAAACACGCCAAATGAATAGATATTTCACCTCGTATTTAGCATAAACGAAGACAATGAACTTATGTCTTCACTTTCTTGCCTGTGTAGATGAGAGAAAAAATTCCTAGCTACTTTAATTATTAGATAAAAGAAAATTTATACACCAATCCACCATTAAACAACACGAGTTGGAAGAGGACAGGTATCCGTAAATCATGCTATCTCTGTTGCAGCTGCCCCTGACACACTTTGTGCTATTCGAGAGAGCGGGCGTATCCCTTCCAGTTGTATTGAGTTCATTGCCTTCAATTAGGTTAAGAGCAAAATTTCATTAGGCAATCCAACGACCTGTCAAATAATTTCAAAATGGCGTCTGGTTGGCAAATAAACCAAAGACAAGTTTGTTTACTTGAGAACTTTGTGGGTTTTGGAAGCCTCTTACAG